ATTCTTGATTCAACTGTCTCTGTCTAGTCTTGTTCATACCCGACAATTCGTCGAACTCCGCGCCAATTTCTTACGGGAATGTTCACATTGCCAGATTGATACAATTACTGGATCTCTCAACTCAATACTACGCGGAAGATGAATTAGGCGAATCTTGTTCGTCACTAAAGCAGATGCTATTCCTCCTCTCACAGAACTGCTCCTACCGGAATTAAGGCACTTCTTCAGACTCTACTTCTATCAATCGATAAAAACCATGACAGTATCCTTGGTACAGGCAACTGGCTGTTATAAGGCTCTTGAGGCTTTCCCCCTCAAAACATGTCGACTCACCGAGAGTCCTCATCCAGCGACTTTGGGTTATCAGATAATGATGAAGAGCAACTGATTCGCAACATCGGCTATGGATATGCGTCTGGCTTCTTGTACTCTACTGGGAAGCAGCTAACGACACATACCCCTGCACGGAACGTTGGGCAAGAAAATAAAAGAGGCATGGGCGGCAATCAACCTCGGATGGTAAAGAGCATGAACGTGAGAGTCAATCCTCTTACTGATAAAAGAAGAGACATGGGAACACAGCCAGACCTCCCAGAATGGCAACGGAATAAAAGGAGCGTGAGGCGCAGAAAGATTATTTGTGCTATTCGAACAGTTGCATGTCCCCCCATCATATCTTTTCGATAACCTCTAACGACTCCATAAATTCCCAATTACCTTCCTTGATCACATTGCACAGTTTCGTTGATTATTCTTTACTTATCCCGACCAGTTGTACCAGGTCGATTTCAGCTTGGGGAGATATTGTGGGATCTATGCAGCACGCCTTTGTCATAGATCTTCGAATAATAATCCCAATTTTGTGTTAATTAAAACATTAGAAAACTTTCTTATCTCTCTTCCAAGTATGAAGACTCATACTGCTCATAATTACACTTTGTCTTGACATTACAGTTTCTACTTATTCCAGACTCTGTGCACACCTGTATTCAATCTGGCATACGTTGACACATATTGACGTTGAACATGTACATCCTAAACATGGTCTTAGAAAGAATTCAATTGCCCATGAAATTCAAGTTCTTACGAAGTATCCATGTCTAAATGAATTTATGCACAAGCAGATGGTGATTGTTGCTATTATTTGCGTTTATGCCGATCTTTCTACTATATGAATCTTGTTCTGTTTATCGCCCAGAGCCGAGACCACCATGCTGTGTGTCTTGGGAACGCTACGTCCCGGTGTGCCAGGCTCAAGCTGTAGGTCACAGCTATAATCCGGCTCGCCTCTAGTCGACTGCTGAAGTGGGGGAAGTCCTCGTTGAGCCTCATAAATTCTCTCTTGGAAGGTTTAGTACTATTAGAATTAGCCAGAAAAGACACCTGGAGTTTGGTCGGTAGCACATATTTAATATATAACTATCAAGAGTACTGGGCTGGCCTCCATGAGGCAAGTAAGGCTATTTGCTCTCGGATAATATCTACATGTATTCACATAGATAATATTGGTATTTTCTCTAAGTAGAAACTTAGATAGAAATACTACACAATACTTGGGGGTGATTATCAACAGAGTTAATAAGTTATACTCGTATTCTTTGATCAAAGCTTTGCCATCTTCTTTCTGCGAGTCATTTCTATAGAAAGTACGTTGGTCTACTGGGATATACAGGCCATCAGCGAGGCAAATGCCGCTGATCAAGAACCAAGTCATTAGATGTATATTAATTAAGATTTTACGAATATATTTCAGCTCAGAAAAAGTAATTTTTGAACGCCACGGGTCACTGGCGTCCGTAATAGCTCAAAGGTAGGGAAGGAGAAATCTGTGTTTTCCTGGGCTTGTCAGTTAGTCGGTACTGATAGTCGGATGCCTATCGTGCTCGAAAATCTGATTATTGGACAAGTGCCGCCAAGAGCTCATCCCACAAAAGCTGCAAGGAAGCCAAATAACATCAGTCAAGATAGAAATACAGCATGAGGCGGGTACAGAGCTCCTTCCACAATATAATTATGTGCAGTCGCACCACCCGCGCGAGGGTCTGGACAAAGAACATACATTCACGGGCCAGAGTAATATTATAACTACAAGCACCCATGACCAAAATCTACACTAGAAAATCCAGATAGACAGAAAATGCTCCCGTGGCCAGAACTCCTTCCAGGGCTGTGCGCAAGGTGATAATGGGCTGTGAGAAAACGCCAGCATTGGCAGAGTAAAATATCCAGATACTGCTGTTATGGAAGAGAAGGCAAGCGAGCCATATATATTTTTCAATTAATATATTTTCTTTAACAGTTCCGGTCTGGCTATAACAGTCGCTGAGGAGTATGTATTCAATATATAAGACCTCCCTGTTGAAATAATCTTTAGTCTGTTCATTGTAGTTCTGGTAATCAGCGGTCCGGATCGCCTCAGCGTACCAGGTGAGCTGCACCAGATCAAAGATAATCTCAGAAAGTTACAGCCTAATTAATGCATCAGACAATTATAGCTGTTATAGTAAAGGCGATGTGAGAAGGACGAGTTAAGTAATAAATAGCAAGATAGAATATTCTTAAGGGCGAGTATTACGGACCGGAGGAAATATGGGTTTAGTATAGACTATGCATGCAACGTGTATATCTATTCTAGAAATAGCAGATTAATCTTTACTCTGGAAGTGAAAGAGCTACTGCATCAAGGAGCATATATACCATGAAATCTGATATTATACGGAATATGGAATGTCTACAAAACTCTTACGCAGTGTGACCATTTATCATAACCCGGCTAGATACATCTTCAGATAGGCGGGGATACCCGTAGTAATCTGCAGAGAGTAAGACTTGATTTCTTCTAGGAGAGCAAAAGTGGAAGGCACAGAAGAGGATAAAAAGAGATTTCATACTTCAATTATCAGCAATATGAATATAGATGTAATCAAACCATCACTGACTGCTCTGAGAGGGTCCGAGAGACTACTATTAACCAGCCAGATTATTTCTCTCCAGTAATGAAAGGTATCGAGCAGCAGAGGACTTAATTATCTATTACTGGATTGCTTAAGAGACAGTTCACTGGTTTATAAGACTATATCCAAGGAAGTAACACAGATACAGGCATAAAGACAGGTCTTATTATTTTAAATTAATTCACTCCAATGTCTTTTGATCGTGTCAAGCCAGTGGTTCTGGAACGGGACGCCGTCTTAGGAAAGATTAACTAAGACTAGACTGGATAATCAGTATTCACTATTCAAGATACAGAAAATAGAGAACAATGCTGTAACTTAACTTACAATACTATAAATACCGCATCATGCGATCAGTAAGAGAAGTATGAAAGATATTAAACAGATCTATAACTGATTATAGCTCCATGCTCCGGGAAATAAGGGATGACACCGAACAAATTACTACATCTTCCTGGCCTTAGCAGTCAGTTGAGTGCTCTCGCATACATGCTTGAGCTATATAAAGCTCAGCCTTGAGCCGGACCTGGACCTGGGCAGATTCATGATCAGTCTCCAGGAATTGGAAAGCTACACATCTCCCTGATCAACATTTATGTAATTCAGTGCTAGTTATTCTTTTTTTCCGATTATACTCTGACATGACATGGAAGCGGATACGTTTCAGGTCCTCGGGCTTGGTGCCATTAGAAATAGATTTTAGACTTATATAGACCCAGAAAAGAGCTGGCCGACCTGCAACAGCGCTAGTTACCTTATATGGTCCGGGTGTTCTCTCAGTGTCGGGTTTGACCACTGCGGCCGCCAACCGAGACAAAGTCAGCCATTGCTTAGATACTGTGATCGGCTCTGTATCATCCCTGCAAAGAGGAGGGATAGGAGCTGTGCTGTTGGTACTGCTGCTCGAAATATTATAAGGGCCCGGCCCTTGGGGGTCTGATGAAGAATTCAACGCATCAGTCCGGGTCGTCCCAGGAGGAAACAGATTCATATGGTCAAATGGATTCATCCCGACATCGAGATCCTGTGAAGATCCATGCCATTAATCCTTTCAGCAAAAGTGGCATCGAGTAATCCCCAAATCGAGAAGCTCGATGGGGAGAAGGAAAAGGGGGCAGAGCGGGGCCTAAAAATCTCATATATAAACAAACAAATGATCAAACCAGCTTGATTAGGCCAGGTATAATTACAGCACCACAAAAAAAGAGAAAAAAAAAAAAAAAAAAAAAAAAAAAAAAAAAGAGGAGCCTGGAGGAGCCTGATGCAAAAGCCAACGCCACCGAAAAAATGAATAGGCCTTCGAAAGGAGAGGGGGGGTTGTTGGCGAGCCAAAGGGGAAAACAAACCCGAGGCGTTGGACGAAAAAGGGAAGCAATGAGATTACAAAGCAGTGCACTGGCCCTCCATCGTCAAGGCCAAGCTCTGGTGCAAGACCCACTACAAATCGGAGATCGAGAAATGCGCCTGTTAGGTGTGGAGCGAGAGAGAGCACGCATAACGGCAGCTTGCTCGATATCACACCTAAACGCGCTATCCTCGGTGTGCTCCGTTCTGGGTAGTACTGGGTGGTTTAGCGGAATTCTGTGAGTCGCTACTGGTCAAACTAACTTCAGTGGGTCATGCAAAGCGACGTGATGTCTGTGCGCACAGAAGCTCCCAGAGCCTTGATTGACTGTTGCCTAGAAAAAAAAAAAAACAAGAAAAAAAACAAGCTATGATACATAGTACCTAAGAATCCACAGGCGGAGTTAATTTCACGAGTTGTCCGTTCCACCGGTCCCAAGCTTCTTCGGGAAGGGGCCATGAAAATAACGAAAAACTCAGCACGCGGCTTTTATAGTTAAATCCATCTTGGCTCGCTTGGGTTTCGGGATATGCAAGGGCGCAGCATTCTTCCAGGCCTCGTGCCCGTATACGGACTTACCCTACTAGGAAGTTGACCGACTTCCAATCGCGGCCGTATAATGGCTTATACAAACGTTCGGACAATCGTGACTCGCTTCGCAAAATACTACTCGGGATCGTAGAAGTGATGCGATACCATCATCAAAAACAGGTAGTGCAATCTGTTGATATCCCATCAATCGCCCATTGTATATTGCCCAAGCGATCATTGCCCAAGAGCCGACAGATCTCATCTATGACTCTAATGCCAAATATTCCCATCCACCACTGTGACCGTAAGTGATATAGAACCACGCAATAGTGGGCCATGATTATCAATGCCATAGGCTGATGGTCCAGAACCAAATCTACAAATACTGCTGGAACCTCCAGCAGCCAGGAAAGTCCAATCAGCCCGGGGCGGCTGCCCCACGCAATATAACATAGACAGGAGGCCAATCGATCAATGGCTTTAATATAAATCTCTCAGACTTTGGGGTTATTGTTCCCCGTGCTATCCTCATTATTAAGCTTTCGCAGAGCATGAATGGCCAGGGTAGAGATATTTAGTATATTGGGACCGCTTCCCTGGCGGACTAGGAAAGCCAGCTCCTCGCTTGGTTAGAGTTCATCAATCAGGCGGATGAGAATCTCCGGCGAGCCGCGTAGATAGCTGACAATTTGACAAAGATCTACCAACGCGGATCCGCTTGAGCATAAGGGCGTTCGTACATGCGCGAAGGAGATGATGATAAGCATATTGCATATAACAAGCAATGACATGCTTTCTTTGCGAGACAGTTCTAATTTCGCCTGGTTAATCTGTTATTCAAGCCCGGCGCGAGCTTGATCCCAATGAAGAATAGCTAGACACTGGAATTGCTGGTAATCATATTGATTTTCCTGTATGCTGTCCCTTTCGCGAGAATAGATAATATCCAATACTGCCAGAGCTAGGATGCTATCCAGTAATAGTGCATTGCCTATTGCCTCCCGGACGATTGTGCTTCTCCAGATTTGGCCGTTTTTACCATCGGGGGTGAGAGATTAGTAAGTTCTGGCACACCAGCGAGATAAGAGAGTCAAATCACTCGGCTTCAGAGAACGGATCTTAGGCTCCTCACTATGCTGATCAGCGTGGCCAATGACCGGCTTTGCGGGTGATGACCCCGGTCGCCAGAACTCCGAGTTCCATGTATCCGGCTGTGAGGCAGGCAAGGAAAAGATGGAGGATTGTGGATGCACAATATGATCGGCTTGGGCGGGAACCAGGGAAGATTGGGATGTTGGGTTATGCCGGATGTTCTGTTCACAACGTCGTTCCATTTGTTAGAAAACGGCAACCAACAAAAGGAGGAGAGTAATAGCGTACCAGCCGTTCGCTAGTATGAAATAACTGGTGTGCACTGATGAGTACCTTCTTGTTTCCCAGCAGGTCTAACATGCTGCCCCGAGATGAAATCGAACCAGAATGAAGTTGTAGTATAAGACCATGAAGAGTGGAACAATGATGACAGTGCTGACGAGACACGAGATGAATATAAAAGGCTGAAGGTAGGTATTCATTCACTTGCAGGTCGATAATGTGTCTGGATGTCAGATGACGATGATTCCCCGGCTAACTCAAAGCAGTAAATGTAGAAGCAGGACCTAGATATTTTATTCTTTATCTATCAGGCCACTTATTATATAACCATTGATGAAGGTGTGGTGGGAACCGACCTATTGAAAACCGTCACAACCGCGAAATACGCTTCCATACAATACCGGTCGTTGTGGGGACCTTCCTTTCCCGGCTTACTTGGATTATCCTCCATAGTCCAAAGCCCTCGGCCGAAACCATTCGGCATGACCATATGCATGAATGAAATTGCAGCCATCTTGGCTATTTCCTCCAGAGAAGTCCGCGCTTTCTCGACGACAAGATGTCGAACTACACAGAGATTATCCCTCCTGCGTATTTCCTACCCGGGGTTTGTCTCACAGTGGCTAGCCTCCTGTTATTAAGCTTGGTCCAGAATGCAATCCACAATCTCCCATACTACCGTATTCCTGCTGTTGGGACATGTCAATAGCCTTTACTGGACCAGCAATCTAGTCTACGCTTTATATCCTCGGCCAGGGCTCTAATTCGTGAAGGCTTTGAACAAATATGGCCTTCTACGGAATATGAGAGCTGTAGACTGATATAGTAGAATACAACCTAGTTAGGACTACACAATATTCCAGACCATTTTCCCCCACGGGCCGATGTTGATACTTCATCCAAAGTATATAAATAAAGTTAGAAGACATCCTTCTCTCAATCTAGAGAAAGCAGTCAAGAAGGTAGTTTATCCAGTAAATAAATTCCCGAGAAATCTCTGACGCCAGATGCTAGTCACTCCCGGTTAGAGATTATCCAGGCTTTGAGACTTTTCGGGGCACAGAGAACCACCATATTTTGTTAGATATAATCAACCAGAAGATAACCCAGAATCTGAGTATAAGACACCTAAAGTCCCTTTCCATAACCACTGCTAAATTACTTTATAAAACAATACACAATTCCTCTGGCCAAAAAAACAGCTTTAACCCTGGAAGAGCATTTTAGCCAACCCACAGGTTAGTAACCCCTCCACACCATACAGTAGTCACCCAGACTGACAAGCTAACATTTGACCCTTGTAAAATAAAAACCCTATTATTTTGCTAGCAAAGTCTCCTATATTATCGCGCGTCTATCGACCCTTGTCTTCCTAGGAAAGGAAGTGTGCCGCAACACAGAATAGCTTGATATATTAATAAACTATACCCTGGACATCTTCGGAGCAATAAACACACTAAGAAAATAGCCACCTATTCTACAACCTGTTATTCACTGGTTTCTGGCGCCTGCTAGGAAGCTAAGGCAGCGTGTACAAGTAGCACAGCAAATCATCCAGCAGGAAATAGAGAGGCGGCAAGAGAAGCCCAAGGCCAGGAAGCCGGATACACTAGACTGGCTTCATAAAATCACAGCCGGTCGCTCCTTGGATGTTACTACAGCACAGATAGGTTTGACACTGGTAACAATCCACACCATATCTAACCTCTTTACCAATGTCATTTACAACCTGGCAGCGAACCCGGAGTATATCCCGTTTCTGCATGAGAAAATCCAATCGGTATTGGAGGCCGACGGTACCTTTCACAAAACTAGTTTGACAAAGTTAAAGCTTCTGGATAGCGTGGTAAAAGAAAGTCAAAGATTAAATCCTCCGGGCCTGAGTACATAATCCCTGGCTTGGCACATTGCTTGTTACAAGTCTCGACCCTGTCACGCTCAGTAATATTGAAACTAACTATTACTATTTTTTCTTGATCATTCAGCTTTACTACACTAATATGCCATGGAGGAGATCACCCTCTCAGATAGAATTATAATTCCAAAGAATACAAGTCTCGTTGTTTCCGTCCATACTATGCAAAATGAGAGCATTTATCCGAATCCGCATACTTACGACAGGTACCGGTTTTATCAAAAGCAGCAAGAGCCAGGCCAGGGAAATAAACACCAGTTAGTGATGACAAGTGCAGAGCATTATAATTTTAGACATGGTATACACGCCTGTCCAGGTCAGTTCTTCGCAGCTAATGAGATCAAAATTCTTCTCGCATACATTATCATGAAATACAACCTCCGCTTCCCCGATGGACAATCGCGCCCTGCCAATTGGGAGATTGGACAGGACCTGATTTGTGATCAAACTGCGCAAGTCTTATTCAGGGCACGGTAGCCCGTATTTCATTCCTTCTTTCTCTTAACTTTGCTCATTTCTGACCTGTTCATGTTTGTTTTTCTTTCTTTTCTCTTTCAGGGTCTCGCAACTCAGTGTATCTTACAACTAAATCAGAAAGCAAAGTTAGCCTGATGTAGCCGGTGAAATTATTGGAAAACTCTTCAGGGCTAAAGGCGCGAAGCGAGTCAATCGTGCTCCATGAAAGATTAAGGACCTATATACTGAATTACTAAAGCAACATCTTTCCGTGCAGCGAGCTAAGAAAGGAACAGTTGATAAAGGAACTACGGCTCGGGATGGCCTTCAGTCGCTATTCTAAAATTGTAATAGATGCGGGCGGCTACTCTACAGGGAAAGAAGGACTGTTAACCTTTCCTGTATACCTTTTTTAAATTTCATCGCATCATGAAGCCGTGATAGTTGCGCCAAGGCAGGTGATCATCTATGCCTTTAACATCGCAAACACTATGTGGCTCTGATATCCCTCTTTTCCGTCTTGTTGTGTGCCAATAGGGTACTAGAAGTCCAGACTATTTGGCACCATAATTCAAAAACCATTTGTTTATCTGCCTAGTTTGTTCAAGAGGTCACCCCTTTGTGTATGGCCCCTGGCCATCCTCCTCCTTGTCCCTGGTATCTTGATCGCCATTGTCATTAGGAATCATAATTGAGTCTTCTTCCCTTTGGATGCTGGATTTGACTTCGTTGAGGCCAATTCCGCTGACGATTAAAAGTCGCATGATAGTAATGGGTGCAGAGGTCCAGAACATGAAATAGTCTTCCATGGACCAGATACAGATATTAAGCCAGATAGCCCAGCCTCCAACAGCCTGTGCTACTGAATGACACCAGGCCAGGTCACTGAGTAGCATGGCAGCGCAAAAAAAGCACCACAGATGCTCATCATCAAAGGCGCGCAGAACGACCACCTCCACGAATACAAAATACAGCCACGCACCGCCCAGCTCTGTGTATAGAAATTCCATTTCTGGTAAAAAGGACACCTCACCACGGGTCATACTGCTCATATAGACAGCTGGATAGAGCAGCGACTGCAGGGCACCACAGAGGGCTATCATAGGCTCTATTATTGTAAGAACCAGGCGGTAGAGATAGGGTATGGACGTTGGACCAGGAACGAGCAATGGAAGCCACATCGCGAAGAATGAACGAGTTGAATGGAATCTTGAAGGTAGCCGAGGAAGGAAGAGGTTTGGTGATATGAGATCTGGGAACGAAAGGAGGGAAGTTGGGGTGGAGGGGTGCACTAATCTCCAGTAACAGCGAGGAGATGCGAGATTTCACCCGTACCTGGTGCTGATGAAGCCTACAACTCTTCTTTAGTTGCGTTTTGCTCGTTTCCCGGCTCATCCTCGGGCTGGTAATTCACCGAAGGATCGGTATACTACGTAGGACATCCGAAGCTGTTCCTGCAGGATTAAAGTCCAATTAAAATTCGGGAATGTGGCCTTCGTGAGATTTATTATCTCCTCCATTCCTTCATTACATACAGTACGCAACAATACGATACGATACTGGTGCGGAAACACATATTCTGAGAGACCGACGCCACGCTACCTACCAACTACTAACTTAGCAAGGCTAAGCTTTGGATGACGCGCGGTTTCGGTTTGAGCCGGATCCGCAATCAACCGATCCAAGGTTTCGTTCTCCGATACCCCAGCCAATGGAGTGCCACTGCCTCGGCCAGAACCATCAACATGAATTTGGAAAGATAGTTGCCCTAAAGAGGACCAAGTCCCCCCCACCCCTCTTCCTCATGCACATTTGTTTTGCAAAGCGCGGTGGTTCATTCATTTGTTTTCGGCTAACTTCAATCCAATGACTGCGAGCTGGAGCGGGCCACTCTTCGCAAGGAGATTGTACAAGAAATAGTACGAGTCCACGAGACTCAGGAAAAGTGGTCATTATGGATTTGACTGGTGTACCAATCTATGAGATACCAATCATGGCCTAAAGATAGGGGAATTAGTCCGACCACCTTGCTACACCCACTTCCTTCCATGAAATACCTCCTCCACCCGCCGGAAGAAAACAAAAAGAGACTTAGGGAGTCGTTCAGTTCTGGTAGGTGATAAATAGCCCAACAAGAACTTTATATAGCCCATTAGCCTTTCATGAAAACCTTCATTCCGCATGAGCACAATCATTTACTGTTTATCTTTGGCGTGAAGCAAATATTCTTATTAAGATTAAATCGGCCTCCTTGATTAACTTCAGATACTATGCCGCTCGTAAACTCAGTCATCTGTGTGGCCTTGATCACTGGCATAATAGTTATTTTGACTCGTTGTGCCTTCAAGCCTCAGAATAACAAAGCGCCGGTAACCAGAGATCAAAACATTTTCCCTCCTGAGCTTCTATTATCTATTGCCCAGATTATACATTTCTTTTTCACAGCACCGTTCAACTTCATAGCAGAAGGTTTTAAGGTAACCGGTTCTAATACCTTTTGATTTCGACTACGGAATAATGAAGTCATTGCGGTATCAGGTGATGAGGCAAGACAGACATTCTTTGGGGCCAAAGATTTGAATCTCTATACAGGTTTTCAAGTATTAATTAGTACTGTATGTAACTCTACTTCGCATCTGACACAATCAAACTTTATAATACTATCATCATCACTGACCTCTTTTTCTCTGTCTGTAGATACCTGCCGGTCTCAATCCTCAGGCCCTTCATGGTATATACAAGCGATTAAATGGTCTTCAGCGACCCGACAACCTCCAAAGCTGTATGTTATGATTTCATAAGGACTTTAGATAATATTATATATCATCATGTCTGACCAGCTTATTTCGCTGCAGTACTTCCGCAATTGATCGAGGACTGTCATCAAAAGATACATTCATGGGACGAACTCGTAATAGATCCATGCGCCACTTTACATGATATACATTTACTACACGCGAAACTGTTTATTCCCTCTATTAATCCCTCTTTTAGGTTACTTTCCAGATGATCATCCGTGCCGTTACTTGCCATGATGTTGCGGAAGATACGAAGCTTGTATCCCGCTTGAAATATTTTTATGATATTATTGATACATCAGTCAAGCCCTTGCGCTTCTTTGCTTGGGTACCTGGTCTTGCAACTTTCAACAAGATGTGCGCATCTATGTATGTCTATTAGACATTCAAGCAAGCTGTCCAGAAACGGATCAACAATGGCGTGCGAAGAAACGACACTCTTCAGCAGCTCCTTGACTCTGGGGAAAGTTCCCAATGTATTATCAGGGTAAATAATTAATAATGTCTTAATAGCTGGGTAATGGTGGCTGACCAGTTGTGATAGTTTATGATGGGACTGCCTATCACTGGGGCGCGATCCACAGGAACAATTGATAAGCTATAGCCTTGGCATCCTTCCTACAATCCGTCACCTGCGACACATCGATCACCTTAACAGATAGTAACGAGCTAAATCTTTCTCTGAACTACAGGCACATGGCTTCTCCTATACCTCGCCTCTGAACCAACTTGGTTCAGAGCTGTACGCAACGAGATTAAAAGCTTGGCTACAATGTACGGAGTAACAACCTCGTCGGAGAAAGATATAATGGGAATGTTATCAACCATCCCTCTTGCCAGTTGGGAGTCTAAAACCCCGCAGCTGGATCTCTGTATTCATGAAACACTCCGGAGAGCTCAGCCACATACGGCGGTACAGCGTAACATTGGACCTGACCTGCCAATTGGCGCTTATAAAATCCCATCCAATGCCTTCGTCCTATATCCGTTCTCTGATGCGGCGCTGAACCCCACCCTTTATCCAGACCTATTACGCTGGGATCCCGGCCGCACAGTTGTCGACAAGAACGCATTCATCGGGTGGGGGGGCGGCACACACTTATGCAAAGGCCAGCGTCTGGCCAATTTGACCTTGAAGATCATAGTGGCCTACACTTTAATGAATTATGACATCAATCTGGTCAATAATAATGGCGACGTAGTCACTGGCCCCCCCGTTCCAGACTGGAATAACTACTTAACATGTCGGCCTACAGGCGATTGCACGCTTTGTTTTACAAAGTGCAGACAGCCAACCTATAACTTATAATCGTTATACCATTATATTTGTTGATAGCATAATATGCTGCAGATCCCGAACATCTGGCAAAGCCTCAGTCTGAATACATCTAGGTTGACTAAGCTAACTCTATGTTACGTTAACTAGTTAACTACTTATAACCCGTAGCGTTCCTGAAAATATATATTATTATGACTGAGGTTTCGTTATGCCAGATATCTATGATTTCTCATCTCTCGAATAGGTTTATATATTCAGAGGGATAAATTGTTATTACTTATATATGGCTAGGAAATATGTATGGCCAAGTAACTTAGTAATTCGTGATTGTTATCTATTATGTAATAAACCGTATGTTTTGGCTTGTGGGAAAAAAAACATCTTTCTATCCAAGTGGTATACTTCGCTCACGACTGAACAACGAACGGGCTAGCCGAACAAGTAATTGACATCCGCAGGATTCACAGCAAGGGTCCGTAATCTGCAAGATTGCCAGGACTGTTATATAAGTTCAAATACCTAGACCATGGTGCTGCTATCCTTTCATAGGGTTTGGCAGCCACCAGTTCCCCGTGAAGAGCTGTTCAGCAACAAAAAGACGATGTCCACATGTATTGAGCACTCCCTATCCTCTGCTGGACAAGTACAGTTGCCACAGGTATAGTCCCTCCATGACATAGAAAGGTTTCCACGCAGCTGGCAAGGCAGATTATCCAGGAATATTATGGCGGGTTAGGTATGTCAACCCGCGGGTTACCCGCCAAGAACCCGTTTGAGCATAACATTCCCAATTTAGCCATGCCAAGATACACAAAATTGCCGAGTCATCTAGATCTGTTCTTGTTTTCTTACCCTGTATTGGTATTAGCATTTAACAGTAGTAGTACTTTGTCCTCACATCATTGTATGATTGAGGCATCTACTGGAGTGGATGTAGTCATGTGCCTGGGACTCAGGTCACCCACAAACGACCTCTTACTTTGTTTTGCTAGAGTACCTAGATAAGCTACGGATTCAACTTACTCTTTTGCTGCAATTCGCGTTCGTTCGCTTGTTTTCTTTTGTTGTTTCGTTGCTTTGCTAGTGATTTCGCGCCTTAACAAGTTATAATGTTATATTCATAAGAAAAATTTCAGGTCTACCCTGCGATCATGTTACAGCAACTCTACAAGTCAACTCGTCACCACGCGATCTTCGCAACAAGTCCCCGCGGAAACATGCGCACCAACACCTTCCGCAACTCATCCATGACCAGGACGCCAACCGCCAGACCCAATGGAATGAACCAATATTCCAACGGAATGGAAGCAGTATTGAAAAGTGACTGCAGACCAGGCACCTCCGTCACAAAAATAGCAATCACCAAGGACACGAGCATAGCCAGAGGCAGCCAAGGATTCCGGCGTTTAGCGCGTATAGGATCGGCCTGCAGGATGGACATGCGCTTGCTCCGGACGGAGAGGATATTGCCCCATTGCATGATGACCAGCGTGACGAAATAGACGCTCTGTCCGACATAGTTGAAGTGCGTTAGCTCGGCCTCTGTGTAGCCGTAGAAGCCGTCGGAGTATTTCTCGAATGCGAAGACCAGGGCGTGGAACGGGATGCCGGCTTTCTTGTACATGTACAGAAAGAACATGATGTGGGCACAAAAGGCCTCCATAACTCCGACAAAGAGGTAAGACTGCCCGTAGATCCGAAGGTTAATGAGGTGGTCGGTTTTGTGGTTGCGAGGCGGAAGGCTGAGCAGGTCGAACTCTTCCTTCTCCATGATGAGCGACAGCGACAAGAACAGATCTGTGAACACACAGATGATGATCATCAGGAAGGAGCTTAGCGGCAACGGTACGCCGAAGAAGACGTTCATGATCACTGGCCAAATCTCAGACCAACTGCCTGCCGGAAGCAGATAAGCGATGACCTTCTGGAGGTTTTGGAAGACCAGCCGGCCCAGGCGGATTGCCTCCACAATGGAATCAAACTTATCCAACAACACTAGGTCCGCCGCTTCGATGGCAACATCGCTGCCTGAGACAATGGCAATTCCAACGTCAGCTGCACGCAAGGCGGGAGCATCATTGACACCGTCGCCTGTCACGGCCACCACACTGTCTCGAGACTTAAGCTCCTCGACTATGCGCAGCTTTTGCTCCGGAGTGGTACGGGCAAAGACAATCTCCTCATACTGGCAGATTGAGTTCCACTGGTCTTCGTTAAGAGTCGAGATCTGCGACCCTTCCACCAGCAGACTACGTCTCGATCTTCCCTCATCCTTCTCAGCTGGCGCTACCACCGCGGATGACGCCAGGTCGGCGACGGTATCCGGCTCAGCAGTTCCGGTAAAAATTCCGATGTCTCGTGCAATCGCCGCAGCAGTTAGGCCAAAATCACCGGTCACCATGAAGAAGCGAATGCCAGCGCCTCGACAGGCCGCCACCGTTTCAGGAATTTCTGGACGGGGAGGGTCGATGATACCGAAGATGCCGATGATTGTCAAGTCCTGCACGCCATTGGCTAGCAGCTCATCATTGAACTGGTTCGTGCCCACCGCAGCAGTCGGTGCATATTCCCGCTGGCAAAGAACAATGACTCGCTGGGCGCGGCGGGAGAGCTTCTGCTGGAATGCAATAAACATATCCTTCGCAGCAGCATCCAGTGGCTTGGCCACACCGTCTTTGGACCAGTACGAAGTACACTTGGGCAGAAGAACATCTGGGGCTCCTTTGACATAGATGAGGCTGTGGGTCGAGGAAGACGGATTTTGGTGCACAGTAAGCATCCACTTGTTTTTCGAGTTGAAGGGTATTTGATGGGTGCGTTGGTAGTCATGAAGGTCGGTCTGTCCGTCTGCTCTGAGCATCTCAGCCAAACGTAAAACGGCCGCGTCGGTCGCATTGCCATTTACGACGCGTTCAGGAATTGGCAAGGCCAATGTTTCTTGATCAAAGAAGGCATCGTTGCAGAGCTTGGAGCCTCGCAGGAGGGGCTCAAGAGGTTCTGGAAGAGGAATCGACTTCTGCTGTGCGGTCACCAGGTCCTCAACAAAGAATTCCTGGTCCACGAGGCCCACCGACTGCACAAACATCTTATTCTGGGTCAATGTCCCGGTTTTGTCTGAGCAGATCACGTTGACGCAGCCAAGGGTTTCCACTGTCGCCAGTCCTTTGGGCAGGATGTTGTTTGCCTTCATCCTCTTTGCGACGATCATCAGGGTGAGGGCAACGCCGACCGGCATACCCTCGGGAATGAAGGCGACCACGCAGCCCATAACATCGTTCAACATCTCAACAACGCTCATGAATTGTGGGTGGTCAACGCGCAGCCAGCCCACCCAGCTGAAAAGGATGGCTGCCGCTAGGATGACAGTCAGCACCACAATGATCCGTACGAAGCGCGTGATCTCCTTCTGGATGAGCGTTGGCTTCTCTTTCACGTCCGCTGTAATGGACGCCAAGCGACCCATGACAGAGCGACTTCCAGTTAGGACAACAACACCAACAGCATTGCCATTGGTGACGCCGGTCCCCATAAAGGCAATATTGCGGGTCTCAAGGAAGTTCTGGTCGGTTGCGTCGGTGGCACCCTCGACTTCATCGGACTCTCCCGTTAGGATGGACCGATCGAATCGAACATCCCCCGAGCTTTTGATGATGCGCATGTCAGCCGGGACCTTGTTGCCAATGGAGATATGAACGATATCTCCCGCAACAAGGTCAGTAGCTGGCAGCTTAATCAAGTTCCCTTCGCGGAGAACGAGAGCTTCCGCAGGCAGAAGGCCCAGGATTGATTTCATGACGCGCGATGTTGACCAATCCTGGAAGGCGGAGAACGATGCTTGTAGGATGATGACGATGATTACCAGGATAGCCATAGCCAAGTTTGTGACTGATGGAGGATTGCTGAGCGGTTTCCAGCATATGAAGAAGATAATCACGCCGATCCAGAGGACCGAGCAGAAGCCACCGAAGACATAGCCAAGGATCTTCTTCACATAATTCTCCCCGTGGTGTGCGATGATGTTCTTCCCGTCGCGTTGAAGACGAGTAGCTGCCGCGTCAGTACTCAAACCCCGGCTTGCGTCGACATTGAACTGCTGGCACAACCGGTCGATAGCAAGTACATGGAAGTCCAGACTTTCAAAATAGTCCTGATCTGGCTTTTTCTCATCCTTTCCTCGCTCTTTTAGCACATGCTCTGGGGCTGCCTGGGATTCGGAGATCTGGAACGAGAGGGTACGGAATTCGATTGGTATTCCGGCTGCCGTTGGGGACTGAGGTATACTGCGCGTGCTGCGAATGGTATCTCGACTGCGGGAACGTTTGTCGCCAGGCGAGTATATGGACCGAGTGCCGTCATGTACATTGGGACCGTCGAAGGTGATTCGCTGGGATCGAGCAGTGCTTCGCACCTGGTCATTGGGGGTTTCTGTATCGGCTTCCAGGTCCAGGGTGGATGAAGAATCGGCTGGCTGGTCCGCAGACACAGCAGCGGTAGGAGTAGTCATGATGATGCAGAACAAAAATGAGACAGATCACTCTCGGATGACACTCTCGATATTGTGGAGTGGTGCACTGAGTGTATTTCGACTGTGCGATGCGAATGTCCAAGATAGGTTGGCTGAGGAAGGGGGGGTGGTTGCTGAAATCCAACAGCGAGCTCCTGGGAAGCCCCTCCACCTATTTATCTGCTTCCAGGCCGTCATCGTGAACTCGAACCAGTCCCAAACAGTCATGGTATGTGGGATGGCAGTCCCTATATCAGGGAGGGAAGCGAGAAAAAATGTGTCACGGCGTCTGGGGATGGACAGGCAGACGCTTTCAGCTGCCATGAAGGGCAAAGAGGATTGTGCGGACACCCAAAGCCATACGAGAGATTAACAGTGTCCTGCTGCTAGTGCAGGGAAGCGGCTGTCAGGAACTGGCTCTGGGAAATCCCTCACTGGCCCTGTGGATCCTGGTTGCCTTACCATGGATTGCTCTGGTCAAGAAAAGCTGGCAGAAACACTACTGTAGCAGGTGCTAACTTCCAACATGGGGCTGGCGCCAGTCCAGTAAAACTATGATTATTCTTCCTTACAAGCCCAGTCACCGAAGTGGGTGCTATCCATCCACAGGTCTTCCTCGCACAGGCCGAATTCCATGACGAAATCTGGTGCTCAGAGCTGTCTGTGCGATTTGCTAATAATCTAGCACGTGGAGAATAGGTGAGACGGTAGTAGATAGCATTGCTGGGTCATGGTTTTGCATCAACGCTGGGATGAGATGCCTATTGCCGATAGACTCTGTTTCATTTGTCGCCGATTGGCCTGTTCCCGGAAATAAGCATCTCCACGTGGGGGCTGGCCTGGCAAATTGTAGGAGAAGACATCCACCCTCCCAATCACGATCTCTATGCCAGGGTGAGGTCTGATATCGTGTTACATTTTTGTACATCAACATCCAGTAGCAATTCTATCCGCAATTCTTGTTTGGCTTCTTCCCGCGCAACTGAGCAACCCTAGAAAGTGTCATAGGAACCACCCCGTGTTGCCTTCGCACAAATGTCAGATTTGCCATCCTCTCCGAGTGTATTAGTCCATCCTCACTTCGCTTGGGGCTGACACCATCACCTGCGGGATTTTTGTGACCCAAAGAAGTGCAATTCCGTTTATGTCTGGTCTGTAACCTCGTGGGAGAGGGCAAGCCGTGGTCGCGACCGACCGACGGGTGGGAACCAAAATGAATCGCTCTGAATAATCCCGCATACTTGGGACCACGCGGGAGTGCCCACCAAGCTGGCACCACCTCAAGCTCGACTCGAGTCGACTCGCCTCTGTTCCATGCCAACGGTAAAATTTTGCTGATTCTTTGTCTGTGACAAGCGGACTTTCTTTCTCCGGACTGTGACAAGTCTGTAGCCCACTACCGGGGATTGTTCTCGATCAAATTTCCCTCAGGGGCTTTCTATGTGCGTGATTTTGTAGGGCTCGGAAATTCTCGAGTTGCTTGCTCTTCGCTTCTCTCCCATGGAAGGCATGCTTCTTCCCGTTTGTGTCGGATAAATTGACGTCTCACGACTGTTGTCCCTCGGGTTTTGTTTTCTTACTCCAGTGTAGTCATGTTATGATCGAATCTTTGTCTGGAGCACCGTTTCTCTGAATGCGGGCAGCTGTAGTACGATATCAATGGTTCTATCTTTGTTGCGCCGTTCATCAGTCCAGCCAGGAATGTGGCAGCCTGTCCAAGGAAATGATACCCCGAGTCATCTATTGTTCCAAGAATGCAAGTATCTGTGGACTGTTAACCGCGCTATTCCACCTCCCCTCCTAAGCTATGCATCCCAGATTCTAATACAATCTCTTAAGGGGTTCTTTCCTTCACAAAGGTAATCTTTCTGGCCAACCAACACCCGAACGTAACACCGACCACCTCGCCCTGTACGTCCCGTTGAAATACAACAGTCCAGTTCCCCGGTGCTGGCGCATCTAGGCCTCGTGCGCATACGAGAAACCAGATGTCGTCTCCCAGGTATCGCATGAGCTCCGCGGGCCCGTGGCCGAGGAATCCCTTGAACGATCCGTACAGCATACCACCGGCTCCGCTGCATAGAAATACGGAGTCCATTTCCGCACAGTGGTATCGGCCGACAGAGTCGCCCTTGGGCGGCTGTTTATCAAGAATAATCCGGTTTGCCTGGATATGACGGTTATCGTATTTACGGTGGAGTATGAGGATATCGGAACACAGCGTGGCAGTTGCCAGGTCCGACCGTGCCTCAAATTTCTCAGTAAGCTTCAGTGTCTCATCATCGCCCGTATACGTCACGATGACTTCTCCTGGTCCCCCAAGGCGAACTTCAACCACCAATTCTGCCTCCGGGTCAAAGTAAACTCCCGCCCAATTTGGGGCCGGCATGGAAAGCAGCCCATGCTGTGCAGGGAGACTAAGAGCTTGCTGAAGGATATGCCCAGCTACCTCTGCGGCATCTATTTCGTGATTCAGCATAGCCACAACGGCAAATTGTTCTGTTGGTACTTGGGTCCGGTGCAGGCGATATCCACGAATGGCCCCGCCATGGCCGATGGTCGCAGTCTGCCCGAACTTTATATGTTCCAAGCCATATCCATACCCAGCTGGTGTACCGTCATCGAATAATGGCTCTTTCGCGAGCTCTCGATACACACTCTTCCGATCGGCCCATGCCTTGTCCAGATAGCATTCGTAGGCGATCATATCCTCCAGGCTAGCCACGATGCCGGCGTCACCGGACCATTGAGTTTGGTTGATGGCCGGAATATAGCCAAAAGTTTCATTGCCTTCGTACCCGACGCATGGCGGAGGCAACTTGGCGTTGTCTGCGCAGAGGGTTGCAGTTTTCATCCCAGCAGGCAAGAAGAGTCGTTCCGAGAGCAGTTCGCCGAGAGACGTTCCACTAACGTGCTCGACAATGCGAGCAAGGATATGGAAGTTGAAGTTACAGTAGGAGAACTGCGTGCCTGGTTGAAAATGGAGGGACTTGGTCCGGTCCAGCGCTTTCTTGGCGTCTTCCGCGAGAGTGAATTGCCCTTCCGGTTGTGTGCCCCAAAGCATCGACATGGCCCAATAGTCTCGAATTCCCGATTGGTTGTTGCAGAGGTGGTCGATTCGGAGACCGTTGTTCTCGATGAGCTCGGGGGAGACCAATTGGCGAAAAGCATCCGACAGTTGCTGAGCTATATCGCCTCGCTCCACCATGGCTGGTGTGGGGTTGCGCTCCAGATCCTTGAGGATCAGACACAGCATCTGCTTCGTAATCGAGCAGATTGGCATTAGTGTTGAGGCAGTCATGGGGATCCGTTTCCGCAAATCTGCATATCCCCAGGTATACTTTCCGGCCAGTTCGCCATCCTTGATGATGGCGACCGCTCCACCCGGACCTCGATAGCGCGAAGGGACTGCTTCAAGTATAGCTTGCATGTTCGGGAATGTCACTAGAGAGCCAGGTTGAGTATGGAATGATACAGTGTAGGGGGGGGAAAAGAGCTTACTTGTGCAGATAATTTTCTAGGCCAAACCACGCAGCTTGAAGTTCGCAAAGCAGTAACCATACAGGTGGTTGTTGAGACCAAGTGCCTGCTTCTTAAGATGTGGACCAGAAGGGTATCGGGCACCCGTTTGGGAAGCCGCCGGCTCTGGCCGCACCGCGCCCTTACCCAAACGGGCATGGCTATGCGGTTGGTTGTCTACTTGGCGCGAAGGGAATATTAGGGAATATTAGAGTGCAATTATGGCCAATCTTGGGAGGGAATTGAAATTCGTAAATACTCAATATCAAGTTAGCATGAAAAGGGCATTGTGTAATCTAGAGGGTTCTGCAGTCGGAGAACCCTGACATAACCATCCACTGTCTGGGGAGAACGCACCATTGATCTACGACATTCTGATGATAATAGTTAACATACTCGCCGTTGAAGGAGGAAGGATGCGTACTGAAATCAGGAAACAATCTTAATCGCAGCCAGGACGATGTAACAGCGACATCCACCTCACCATCGTACTCGTGGTTCCACTGGGGCTCTGAGACATGAATAAACCACCAACAGCAGAACATCCCACCATGCCTGTGTTGCCAGAAACATCAGTGCCCAGCTGGGCTGCTTCGAGCCGGTGAGAAGATATTTGTACCCCAACCAAACCCCTATATGAGCCCCCGCTAGAACCAACTTCCCCACGGTGGATGCCCCGATGACGACTTTGCGTTGCATTCTTGGCCCGCCGGCTCCATCATATAGGATGAACAGTAAGTATCCGACCCAGAAGCCGAGCGAAATAGTGAGGCATAGGGATGCGAAATATGGGAGTAACGAAGGAGGCTCTGCTGGGGACTAGATGAAGTTGTTAATGCATTTTTATATCATTGGGGCGACAGACATACCAGCTCCGGGGGAGGTACATAGCTTCGGTAAGCCCAGACAGTGGAGATGATCGCCGTTGTCATGAATGTGAGCCCACTCAAGGTTTGGATGACGGGAGCCGCTGGGATGATGAGGGAAGTTCGTCGACGAGCAGAATGACGTCTGACATGGGGCCTGGCATCATGCTGAGTCGCAGAGGCATAAGATGGTAAGAGGGGCTCCGTTGACATGGCTGCTATCCGGACCGTTGGCCCGTCCGCATCTAGTAAACAGAGCGGACGCTTGAGGAGCCGTGGATTCTCAGGAAGAGTGGGGGAGACCAAGTGGAGATGCCCACCAGCTGGCCATCACATCACATGATGGGCCGGTGTTTGCTGTGTTTGCTAACACCAGCCATTATATCTACACCAGGCATTATATTGAGTACAACTGCGTAAATACTTACTCTATGCACGATGAGGGATATATCTCCTCACTGCCGGGCATGGTTGACTTCACTCAACCACCATCCCAGCTCCACTCCTAACCTTCCCTCCTGATCATACATGACAAGATGTCCTGCTCCTTCGATCAACACCACCTCTCTGGCATTCAACCTGGCTCTCAGTCTCTCGGCCGTCTCCACCGGGATCCATTGATCTTCTGTTCCCCAGATAATCCTGACCGGCATCGCCTGGCCCACTTCGGAGTATCTCCCCTCGACTGCCTCTGTACTGCGACTGTTGGCTTGTGCCATTTGTCTTATGAAGCCTTTCCGGCCTTCCTCGTTGATGATCCACGGGCGCTTCAACATGTCCATCGTTTCCTTACTCAACTCTGTACATGCCGCATTCCGAATATATGCCTCAACCATTCCTTCGAACATCGGGCCGGTCAAACTGGTAAAGGCCTCTTCATTTTCCGCCACTGATTTGAACAAAGGCTGCCCGAACGGCCCCAAAGCAACCACATTGATCAAACACAAACTGGCAAATGCGCAGGAATGGATAAGGTGCGCCCGTAAACTCATGAGTCCCCCATGATCGTGGGCGACGACATGTGCCTTATTATGCGCTTGAGGCCAGTCCTTTGACCAGGATTCGTAAAGGGCAGCAAACACCTCCGACTGCTGTGCGAGATCTGCATCTAGGGCGACTTCTTTGCTGATCAGTGCCTCTTTTCCTGGTAGAGGGATACCCAGTGGACTCTCGCCGAATCCCGGATTGTCAAAGAGATAGACATGAAAATATCTAGCCAGGGAACGTGCAAAGACGTGCCAAACCCGCGAAGACCATGGGGTGCCGTGCACGAATATCAAAGGTGGCAGGGAAGCGTCACCTATTGCGGTCCAGCGCACAGCGTATTTGTGAGTAGTAGTATGGTAGTGAAATATTTGGGTGAGTGGGATGTCAGCGACAACTGCAGGGTCCATATTGCTACAACATAGACACTAATACTGTAAATTGTGATTGTGATGATAGTATTCTCCAAATCAGTTCCCCGCCTATGGAGATGCCAACCCCGCTTCGACGCAATGCGACCGAGTGAGCTTAGCTCCATTTGTCATCCTTATCTTTCCCCCATCCCCGCATCTTGGACTCATCGCAATTTCCACAAATCCGTCTCTCATTCACTGCCATTTCCCGGCCTGGGCCTTTGTTGTCGCTATTTAAAATGTCGACATCAATTGAAAGCGAGCGCGCCGCCTACCTTCTCGACGCGCAAAATAAAGCGGTGCAACTATTCGAGGAAATCGAACGAGACCTGATTCGGCCCGGCGTGAGTGAAAAGACACTCAGCACTGAGATCCATGAGCTGGGAGCCAAACGCCATGGGGTCCGTACTCACTGGCATAAACGAGTGGTCCGCAGTGGACCAAATACTCTAAGTCCCTTTGCCGAGAACCCACCGGATCGCATTATTCAACCAGACGACATTTTGGTGGTGGACCTCGGCCCGGTCTTCGAAGAATGGGAGGCGGACTTCGGGCGCACATATGTTCTGGGAGATGACCCGGCGAAGTTGAAACTACGCGATGCGCTGGACCCCATATGGCACACAGTCAAGCGACGGTTTCGCGAGAACCCAGATATGACGGCTGAGGAATTGTACGCCATCGCCTGCCAGGAGGTCCAACAAGCGGGATGGGATTTCGGTGCTCCCATCGCAGGTCACCTGGTGGGGTCGTTCCCCCATGAAAGGATCCCCAACGATAAAATCAGTTTATATATCGCGCAAGGAAATGGGGATAAGATGATGGTTCCCGGGCGGGATGGGCACATGCGGCACTGGATCCTGGAAATCCACATCCACGATCGGGCGCGTGGATTCGGGGGGTTCTGCGAGCAGTTATTGACGGTGGATTGATTCGATGTGCTGGATGTGCCTGTCATGCGGAGAAACTGTCAGCAGACAGGTCGCGAATTTTTTGGGAGTGGAAATATCGTGGTTATGCGGTCTTTAACACAATTATACAACACTTAGAGGATGTAGGATCAGGGTATAGAACGTCTGATTTGGGTTTACATACTATTGCATTCTTGGGATTTTAGAATATAATTGCATTGGTAAATTTAAGATGGTAATAGTATTCTACTACTAGTAGTAGTATCAATATTCCTCCTCATGAACTGAAACGATTAGTAGTCTTCATTGTAAGTCATGATATATTTTTCTGGGGTTGTGCATCAAGATCGAAAGTTGGCAGTCTATCTATGTGTGTAGATATGTCATCCACGCAAATGAATATATCCGATAACAGACTTCCTAAGATAGTATTTCACATGCAACCCCAAGAAGTGAGCGGAATCCACAACCCCTATGCCAAGGTGTCTGGACATCTACCAAGTGCCAAGAGTGGATAGATTTCCGCCTGGCACCCAATCTCCGCCATCGATGCTCCCCAGTCCCCAGTCCTGCCCAGAATCATATGCGCTTGGGTTTGGTAATAGTACCTGGACAGCTGTGAAGGTGCCCTATCTATTTATAATTGCCTTTCTTGTCTTTTCCTTGGCCATATTGGCATTGGCTAAAATTATCTAAGCAGACATTCTTGGCCATATCACTGTTAGTAATGTGCACACCTTCCTTTTGCTGGGTTGGTCGAACTGGGTCTTGCTCATACTTCACACTACCATGATTGCCTGTAAGAAGAAATATCCACCTTGAATGGATTAATTCGATGAAGAAGTACAGTCCGTGCGTGACGCATCGACTACACGTCAAAATTCGTACTCATTGTCAAGTAGCCAAATCTGCCTTTCGCAATTCTGGAGGCTTGGCAGAGTTTATTCTGTTGGGTCACCCAAAGTACCACTATGAGTTCTGCGGAGCGGGATGTTGGCAGACTCTGGGCGCCAATGCCTGCCCCTCCTGTTAAACTTTCCGCCAACCCTACGGGGCAATAGATGAAGTCAACTATGGGAGCTGGGGACAAGGATGAGTCTGGGGCACCCAGATCCAGAGACTTACACGAGGTCGTTCCCAATCTCTTAAATAGCCTCTTCCCCCGTGCGGAACGGTATCCCGCTGAGCTGTGTTATACACACTTGATCCGTGTAACCTGCTGAGTGCTGCATACCTGCCATCTCTAATGCCAGACGAGAAGCAACATTCCACTTCCGACCGGGGCCCCGGGGCCGTGCAAAGTCCATTGAGTGGACCGGCCCATGCTCTGACTTATGAGACTGTCATCAAGGATTTGGGCACAGCACTCGATGATGGCTTGTCTCCCGAAGAAGCGCGTCGTCGTCTGGACCAGTACGGTCCCAATAAACTTGATGAAGGCGAAAGTGTTTCCATTGCAAAGATTCTCCTCCGTCAGGTGGCGAACGCGATGATGCTAGTTAAGCGGCCCACTCTCCTTTTTGTGGCATAAAATGCGTCCAAGATTCCGATATCTGATCCAATTCTCTGCTGCAGGTGTTGATTCTGGCCATGGCGGTCAGTTTCGGGATTCAGTCGTGGATCGAGGGTGGAGTGATCTGTGCTGTCATTGTGCTCAATATCGTCGTCGGGTTCTTTCAAGAGTACGCCGCGGAAAAGACTATGGAATCGCTTCACTCACTCTCTTCGCCGACCGGTACAGTCTCACGAGGCGGGCAAACCTTTTCGATTCCATCGCAGGAGATTGTTCCGGGTGACATGGTCGAGTTGAGGACTGGAGATACTGTTCCTGCCGATATTCGGTTAGTCTTCTTCCAGTATCCACATTAGCCTGGGCTGGAACGATACTAACTCGTCTTTAAACAGCCTGGTTGAAGCCGTCAATTTCGAGACCGATGAGGCCCTCCTGACTGGCGAATCACTCCCTGTTCAGAAAGAATGTGATTCCACTTTCAAGGAAGATACAGGCCCGGGCGACCGTCTTAACATCGCGTACAGCTCGAGCACCGTTACCCGCGGCCGCGCTCGTGGTGTGGTCATTGGCACAGGCATGTCCACCGAAATTGGTTCCATTGCCCTCGCCTTGCGCAATAGCAACACCAAACGTCGTCCTGTCAAGCGTGGCCCTGACGGAGAAACCAAGAAACGCTGGTATGTCGAGGCATGGACTCTCACGGGAACGGATGCCGTCGGTCGCTTCCTTGGCGTCAATATCGGGACGCCCTTGCAAAGGAAGTTATCTAAACTAGCCTGTTTACTATTTGGTGTCGCGGTTGTGTTTGCCATTGTTTGCATGGCTGCAAACTATTTCAGCAGTAACAATGAAGTCATCATGTACGCGGTTGCGACCGGTATCAGTATGATTCCGGCGTGCTTAGTGGTTGTACTTACCATTACCATGGCAGTTGGTACTAAGCGTATGGTGGAGCGGAATGTCATTGTTCGCAAACTCGACTCGCTGGAGGCCCTCGGTGCTGTTACTGATATCTGCTCGGATAAGACTGGTACGTTGACTCAGGGGAAGATGGTGGTCAAAAAGGCATGGATCCCATATTGTGGAACATATTCTGTTGGCGCATCCAACGAGCCGTTCAACCCTACGATTGGCGATTTGAGCTTTGCGCCTGTATCTCCTCTACAATTTGGTGAAGCGGATGAAGGTCTTCCGGGAGCGAATATAGAAGATCTACTCTCAGACAACCACCAACTACAGGACTTCCTCGACGTCGCCTCGATGGCCAATCTCTCTCACGTGTATAAATCTGAGAATGGTGAATGGAACGCACGAGGCGAACCCACGGAGATTGCCATTCAGGTGTTCGCATCCAGGTTCAATTGGAACCGTGACCGTTGGACCAAAGGGCCAGGTGCGCTGTGGCATCAAAAGGCCGAATTTCCATTTGACTCTACAGTAAAGAAAATGTCTGTGATTTTCAGCAAGGTCGGATCAAAGGACGACCAAGGCAACGCCACCATGATATTCACCAAAGGCGCTGTTGAGAGGATTGTTGACTCATGCACGTCAGTCATTTGGGACCAAGGTTCCTCCACACCTGTGCCCCTGACTGACGAACATCGCAACTTGATCTTTCAGAATATGGAGGAGCTGGCCAAGCTCGGACTGCGAGTACTAGCACTAGCTCAACGTCCGTACACTGAAGAGGCACGAGTCCTTGAAGGTTCTGATCTCGAACGTGATAGTATTGAGAAAGATTTGTGTTTCCTAGGCCTGATCGGATTGTACGACCCTCCGCGTCCTGAGACGGCAGGCTCAATCCAGGCATGCTATCGCGCCGGTATTGTCGTCCACATGGTTACTGGCGATCATCCGGGTACTGCACGAGCAATCGCTCAACAAGTGGGGATTCTTCCTTCTGATTACAGTACTGTGGCTGCTGATGTCGCAGATGCCATGGTTATGACAGCAGGTCAGTTCGACAAGCTTTCAGATGAGCAGATTGATGCGTTGCCGACTCTTCCCTTGGTCATTGCTCGCTGTGCACCTCAGACCAAGGTGCGCATGATCAGCGCCCTCCATCGCCGCAATCGCTTCGCAGCCATGACGGGCGATGGTGTAAATGATTCGCCATCACTCAAGCATGCCGACGTGGGTATCGCAATGGGACAAGCGGGATCGGACGTGGCTAAAGATGCATCGGACATCATTCTTACCGATGACAACTTTGCCTCCATCCTCAACGCCGTTGAAGAAGGTCGCCGTATCTTTGACAACATCCAGAAGTTCGTTTTGCATTTGCTGGCTGAAAACATCGCTCAAGCCTGTACCCTTCTCATCGGACTGGCGTTCAAGGACGCCGATAATCAATCTGTCTTCCCTTTGGCTCCTGTTGAAATTCTCTGGATCATCATGATCACATCAGGCATGCCCGATATGGGCTTGGGAATGGAGATAGCCGCCCCTGATATTATGAACCGTCCTCCCCAAAGCAAGCAAGGTATCTTCACGTGGGAGGTTATTATCGACATTCTGGTGTATGGTATTTGGACCGCAGCGCTGTGTCTGGCAGCATTCTCTGTGAGGATGTGGGGATTTGGTGACGGCAATTTAGCCCGTGGTTGCAACCAGGAGTGGTCGGAGCAGATCCAAGATTGCGAACTGGTTTTCAAAGCCCGTGCCACGACGTTCGTCTGTCTGACGTGGTTCGCGCTCTTCCTGGCGTGGGAGATGATTGATATGCGACGGTCGTTCTTCCGCATGCAGCCCGAATCCAAGAAGTACTTTACCCAGTGGATGTACGATGTTTGGCGGAACAAGTTCCTCTTCTGGTCTATTATGGCCGGGTGGATCACTATGTTTCCAATTCTTTACATCCCTCGACTGAACGACGTCGTGTTTAAGCACAAACCCATCACATGGGAATGGGGTATTGTGGGCGTCGAGGCGGTTCTTTTCTTCCTGGGTGTTGAGTCGTGGAAGTGGGCCAAGCGAGTCTTCTTCCGTCGCAGAGACCGTAAGAATTTGACATTAGGATCGATGGGGAACATGCCAGAGCAACCCTAACGAGTGCTCTCCCCGGCCAAAGATCACTTGGCTGGGGAGTAAACTCATATTGCTCCTGGTACGTCCTAAGGAGCTTATACGCTGCAGAATGCAGAAATGGTATTACCTACAGTAGAAGGACGGGGTAGGTAGAGGGTATAGCCTAAGGGAGGTCTCTGCACCCAGCAGATGATACATCCCAGAGCGCTAGGTTAGCAGCAATACGCCGGCATTGGTGGGAGAGAGTTGGTTATAGTCGTCTTGAGGCGGATGTTTCAGAACATCCAGAACGAACATCGAGTCAATATTAGGCTAGTTCTTTAAGTTAGAAAAGTTGATATTCAATCGCACTGATATCTACAGTGGTACAAGGTAAAGCATCCTGCGATAAGCGGGGAAGCCCGTGATAAGAGCAGAGCGATCGGCCATCCCCGCATTCCATCCCTGCCGTAACACCAGCTTCATTATTCCCTTACCAACTCCAACACTCTTTCTCTCTTACGAGCAAATGCTCGAGGCGTGAGCATCACAACTACTCACCATGTCTCCCCGCCCCATCATCGCCATCGCCGGCCTGGCCTGCGAGACCTCCATGTTCACCCGCGCCCGCACCCTCGCCCCCGCATTCCATCCCCGCCGCGGCCATGAAATCATTGACGAATACCCTTTTCTCAAACCCAGCACAGAGCTTGGAGATGCAGCAGACTGGCGCGGTGCACTAATTGGACACGCACTACCCGGCGGAATTGTAGTCCGGGAATCATTCGAAGAGTTGGCCGACGAGATTATATCCCGATTAACCGATATTGTCAAGTCAACACCGCTGGACGGACTATGGTTCGATATACATGGCGCTATGTGTGTGGAAGGTCTCGACGATGCAGAGTATGAGCTGTTGCAAAGGATCCGACGGGTAATCGGGCCAGATGTTATTGTTTCGGCGTCGATGGATCTCCATGGCAATGTCTCGCGTGATCTGGCGCATCAGACGGATTTGATTACGTGTTATCGAATGGCGCCGCATGAGGATGAGACGGAGACGAAGCAGCGTGCGTGTCAGAATTTGGTTGATTTACTCGCGCGACAAAAGGAAGGGCGGATATCTCGACCATTCAAGGCGTGGATACCTCTTCCTATCTTGTTACCTGGCGAACAGACGTCTACAAGGGTGGAGCCTGCTAAGAGCCTCTATGAGCTGGTACCCAAGGTTGAGTCATTACCGGGTATCATTGATGCAGCAATTTGGGTCGGGTACGCCTGGGCTGACGAACCGCGTAATTGTGCTGTGGTTATGGTGACCGGGACGTGCGAGGAAGCCGTCGCTGCAGGGGCGGAGCGTCTGGCAAGAAAGTTTTGGGAGGTTCATGCACAGTTCCACTTTGTTGGTCCGACAGGATCATATGGAGAGTGCATCGATGCCGCGTTGAAATCATCAAAGCGACCGTTCTTCATCTCGGACTCGGGAGACAACCCAACCGCTGGGGGGTCTGGAGACGTCACCTGGGGGCTTACACAACTGCTTGCGCGACCTGAGTTCAAAGACGAGTCAGGTCCAATTGTCATCTACGCCAGTCTGCCAGGACCACAAGCGATACAGACTATAGTAAATGCGGGGGTTGGCGCAACAGTCACCGTCACGGCAGGAGCTGAGGTGGATTATACTCATGCAGGCCCTCTCACGATGACTGGACGAGTTCACGCAACTAAGCACGGTGATAAGGACGCAGTAGTTGAGGCAGTTTTACAAGTTGGCTCGGTCTTTGCGATCCTGACACAACTTCGCAAGCCGTATCATCATGAGCATGACTTTACCGACTTGAACCTTAAGCCGCGTTCAGCTGATATTGTCATCGTCAAGATAGGTTATCTAGAGCCAGAGCTATTCGACATGGCGGCCGACTGGTTACTAGCGTTGACTCCAGGAGGAGTGGACCAAGATTTGGAGCGTCTGGGACACCATCGCATAAGTCGTCCGATGTGGCCGTTCGACAAGGTGTTTTCGACGCCACCGGATCTTTGTGCAAGGATGATCCCGCCTTCGAACGAGTCACTGGCATGAATAGCCCGCATCCGGCATGAAAGAAAGTATCTTTGCGATCTGCAAGGAATCGGCAATGACGGAGCGAGATTTTCCATCGGATATGCACGTGATGGAAGATGCTAAATAAAGCATTGCGCTGCCAATCAGATACTCCGAGCCGTGCTCCCGTTTGGGAGGTGGATCTCGGGATTTCTTCAGTGTTCAGTGGCACTGGGAAGTGAGATGTCATTTTGGCTAATAGCAACCATTGGTACCACCAAGTGTGTTCTTTATCTACAATGATACAGGGGGTTTTTAGCTATTCTCCACAAATATTATATACAGTAGCGATGCGGATACTACCCCTCATCATGCTCAATCCAACAAGAAGGGCATCTTGCATGCAAAATATATTTGTACAAGAGTCACATCATAACACTCGTCGATTAGCTTCCATGATGTTGGAAGTTTCCAATAAATCAAATCCACTTCAATCCTACTACTTAATTTCTTTGATCCCGATAATACTACCTCTACCCATTCTATGACGTGTTACTTCAAAATCACCCGCCAACCACCCAACCAGCCTATAACAAACCCCCCTACATCCAATACCACAATGTAGCTAACTAACGAGAACCCACCACAACACAAGCTTTCTAGGCCCAATAGTCCACCCCATCTACCGTAAAGCGCTCTTCACATTGGCTGGGATGAAATCTCCGCTTTTCATCTCCCCAAACTAGCGAGTAATGTCGCGGCCTGACGAGCGACTAGTGAGGCGCTATTGAAGTGGATGGCCCCCTCTCCCTCTCTCCTTGATTTATTTCTTTTTCCGCCTTGTTTCAGTGAAGTGGGTGGTTACTCTCTATTATTATCTTGGGGGTGTCTTATATTCACAGAATCAATCTGAATCATACAAACATCCTAACAAATCTCGAAAATAAACCACAAGAAAATATATCTAATTGACCGACACTAATACATCAATCCCACCTTCCTACAGCCTCTCATCATCTTCACTATTACACAACCACCCCAGCCTAACCTAAATACTAACACTCTACAAAAGAATCATTCCAGTACCAGACAACACACCGACAGCAACAAACACGACCAACTGACCCAACCCAAGCGTGGCAGTGTAGCTCATGTACCCAGGCACACCAGCAGAGCTACTCTCCGAACCACTGCTGCCGGAGTCACCAGTGCTCGTACCGGCAGCAGCCGACAACGACACGGTACCGGTACCAGCAGTGCCAACAGCCTTGAGCAGAGACGAGCAAGTACCAGTAGGAGAAGTAGTAGAGGTAGTAGTAGCCGAGCCAGCAAAGTCACAGGCGGAGGCACCGTTACCCTTCTCCTTCTGCTCCTCGTAGTAGGCGTTCAAGGCCCAGTTGAGCATCTGCTTGGTCGTGCACATGCTGTAGGCGCCGTACTTGCCCGTAGTGGTGTTACCGGTGATGCCCTCGCACACGCCGTACCCGCAGACGGTGCTGTACAGGTCGGCGTATTTCTTGCTCGACACGCTGTCCTTGACCACGCACGAGAGGGTCTCCTCCATGCAGGAGCAGAGTTCCGAGTTGGGCGCCGGGGGCAGTGCGCTGGCGGCTTCCCAGCTGGAGCCGACGGTCGGGCATGACCGGGCGACGGTGTTGGTGGGCGTGTAGCTGGCGCTGTTGGTGCCGGTGGGGCTGACGCTGTTGATTTCCTTGGAGTACGAGGAGAAGCCGGTCAGGGTGCTGACGGAGCCGTCGGAGATGGTGACCAGACCTGGAGAGTGTTAGTGAGTGGATTGGTGGATAGGTGGGAAGGTGAAGGGGGTGGAGGGAGGTGCTGGGCATACCGTAGTCGTTGGCATCCTGGAAGTACTCGTAGACGATACCACCGGCGAGCCAGTAGTCCATCTTGGGGCCGTACATGACGGGGACGTTGCTGAAGGAACGAGGCTGGACGGTGATACAACCGTACTCGGAGAAGAAGTAAGGGACGGAGTAGTTGCTCAGGTCCTCGGTCATGACGTTGTAGCCGGACTCGGTGTAGGTGGAGTCACCGCACCACTCGTAGACGTTGTCACCGAAGAAGTCGACGGAGTCGTCCGAGTCACCGCAGTTGAAGTAGTCGACGAGGTCGGTACGGATCTCGGAGACATCAGCAGCGGAGTAACCGACACCGATGGAGCGGTAGTTCTTGGACTTGATGTAGGCCTTCATGTCACGCACGGCGGCCTTGACGTAGGCACTGGCACCGGTGGTGTTGACACTGTTGGAGTTCTCGTTACCCGCGAAGAAGCCCAGAGTGTTGGTGTAGTTGGCCAGCGAGTCGACCACGCTGGCGTAGTAGTTGTACAGGTCAATGTTCCACTCCGGGTCGCTGCTGTCGATGGAGTAGTCCGCCGAGGACAGATCCGCCAGCACGTAGATACCTGCGTCGGCGAACAGATTCATGCAGGTGGTGTGGTCCGCGTCGGGGTCGACGTCGTAAACACGCACCACGTTGGTGTTGAGTTCCTGCAGGTAGGGCAGATCCCGCTTGCAGATGGTCTCGTTGGCGAGGGGATCGACGAAATCCACCGTGCCAGCGGAGGTCGTCGTGCCGTCGTCATCATAGGGGGCTGCATTGGTTATTAGTTTAAGTTGCGGTGCCAGAGGCAGTGATGGGCGGTTGGCTTACGCTGGTAGGCCACACCACGGATGAAGCTGAGGCAGGTTAGCAGGTGGTGATGGAGATGGAAAGAGAGGGCAACATACAATTCCGTGCCGTTGTTTTCGTAGAAGAATTTAGAGCCCTAGAGGAGTCAGAGGGATGATGAATAAATTGGTAATGGTGGCTACCTTAATGACAATGGCTGGGGCAGAGGCGACAGCCACGTCGACGAGGGCAGCCGCCGCTACAGCAGAGACGGCGAGCTTCATAGTGAGGGGGAACGAAAGAAGACGATGCTATAGAACGAGTGTGGTTGTTGTATTAAGATAGAGCGAATGTGGTGGTTAACGAGAGGAAGAAAACCAAACAAAAAGGCTAAGCAAAAGGATACAAGATGGATGGATGAAAGAAGAAAGAGAAAGAGAATCTGGAGCGAGAGACCAAGTGGGAGGGAGGAAATGGGAAGACTAAGAAGGAAGAGATGGAGACCGGCGAGGCGAACCTTTGCTAGTCTGGACTCTTATTAGTTGTTAGTTGTTAGGGCCGCATTTGCCTGCTGCCTACGGAATAAGCCCATTGGCCCCCCTGAAGGTTGTGTCAGGATGGGCAGAGAGACTGGGCCTGATGGAACGGCGCTACCATTGGGGAGCCAGCCAGTCTCTTTGCCTGAGTAGTAATTTTAGTACTTTAAGACTAGTTAGCTGACAGCCCCCAGCAATGATGATGATGACGATGATAAAATCTTACGCGGTAATACAAAGAACATCAGCGATATGGAAATCCAGCAATTAGGCTCGCGAGCGACATCTTGGCTGATCTCTTGGCTTTGCTTAACGACTCTTGGGAGTTCCCACGCAGCGGGTCTCGGATCCAGCCGGCTTGGTGACTGGCCGATCGCTGCTCGGACATGGATAAGTTCTGTTCCCCTTTTGCCCCAGTCCACGCAAGAGTTTTACTATAATTACGACTACTTCGTACTTAGGCCAGGGAAAATGGGAGAGTCACAGGGTCAACAGGGTCAAAAGTCCCTATCCCCATCACTGTGAGTCCACAAAGCCCCTGAATCCAGGGTCAAAGGGTCACCAAGGGTCAGAAGGGTCGAAGGGACAGGCAGAAATCAATCGGAAGGGAATTAATTGGCAATGGTGCGTGCCTCGGAGTTTAGGGCGATTTTCGGACAGCCGACACACACAAACCCAACTGCGCCATGGTTACTCGTCCCGAGGGGGGACAAATTCTGATGATTCCACGTGCCGTCCAGTGGACACATCACCCAGAATAAAAATAATCACAACATAATGTTACAGTAGGATGAGAGGCAGTGTCAGGAACGGAAAAATGGAATGGAATCGCCCGCTGAATAATCTTGCATCCTTCGTTTGATTGCTGTTGACGCGTAGCGGGCGATGATCCCAGCCAGTGGCCGCTCGGGTGCCACCCGACGGGTGATTTCATCCAACCGGTTGGTTTCAGATGCGCGGCCTTGGGGGCGAGACTGGTACGACTGGAGCAGACTGGACGATGATGGCTGGATGGGCAAAGCAAGCATTTTTATGGTCGGTGACACCACTGTCCACTTCTCACTCTTCTGCTCAATTGAGTAGCGATCGGCACTGGACGTGCGGCCCCCGGAGATCCGTCGGACTGCCGATACCCGCCCATTCGGGTTAGTGCCGATGCAGACAGAAGAGAAGAGAGGGGAGACTTGAGACAGAGGGAGACAAGGTGAGGGTTAGGAGAGGGATATGTGTATGAGACTTCATTCAATGCTTATGGTGTGTAGTTATATCAATCGGGTTATTGAGCTCAATTCTATCTTTCTCTCAGCCAATGCCACCTCTCCATGGTCCTCCATCGGCTCTCATCGGTGCAGACACAATATCCCCTCAGTGAAAGCCGACCGTGCAATGGCTGGACAAGCGCCTTATCGGCATTTGCATGTCTTACAGAAACAATTCCACAAACGACAGATAAGGCTCGTATACTAGTGGGCCAGGGTTCTGGGGATGCCACCCTTCAACTGGTTCATTATCGAACTAACGTGAAGCGATGCCAACCGAACTACCATGCCTTATCGAGTCCAATGAACTTGTTCGGATTGCATCTGCAGACAGTGAGATGCAATCAGCTTTACACACTATCTCAGCCCGTTCAGATCCTGGCTTATCGGGTGCTACGCTAAAAATGCTTAGCCTGCAGGGTTGAGTGCTTGACCTTGTGCAGAAAGACCCTGTGCAGAGCGAGAGCCACTCTGCTCTGCAGCACTTATCGTGAGTCCCATGTGGCAACCACCGTGTGCTGCTGCTGCTTCTACCAGTGAGGCATTTTCCCGGACTGGCCTCGTATATAATGCAGGCCACCCCTCCTGCAGCGTCGGGGAAATACCGTCCAGTCAGGCTTCAACCATTGATCATGGAGACCAAGTCGGCCAGTGTGTCTCCCGAGCAGGAGATACCGAGCTACAATGAGAAGTCTAGTCAGTACTCTCCTGCGTTAGAGCCTCAGGTGCTCGAAAAGGGGCAGACGGTGCGCATTGGTGAGGATGATGACTATTATAGCGACCAGGTGGTGAGCACGGCTCAAGATCTCGTCACTCATATCATCAAGGTCGATGATGATCCATCCTTGAACCCATGGAGCTTTCGCATGATCTTCTTAGGTATGACGGTCTCCAACTACAACGTGTTTAATCTGCTAAGCTCCCGCAGGAGCCGGTCTGTCCATTTTCGGCGGCGTGCTCCAGGAGATCTTCTACTTCAAGCCACAGACCATCTACGTCTCGCAGGTCTTCCTCACGGTCATTGCCTATATCCTGGGAGAGCTCATGGCATATGTCATTCCTCGTCGGGGCGTCATCGGAAAGTTACTGAACCCGGGCCCTTTCAATGCCAAAGAACATGCCGCCATTTCCCTCATGTCCTCCGCCGCTACACAGTCCGCGCTGGCCACCGAGGCCCTGTCAGCGCAGCAGCTCTTCTATGGTGGATATCCCAACCACGCTGCTGCCGTCTTCATCGTGCTGTCTTCTCAGCTGATTGGTTTCGGTATCGCCGGTCTGCTGCGCGATGTCATCGTGCGGCCAACCAAGATGATCTGGCCCATGACCCTACCCATCAGCAGTCTGTTGGAGTCATTGCACAAAGACAAGGCACAGTCCAAGGCACGGTTGAAGATCTTCTATATCTTCTTCTTCATCCTCTTCTTCTGGACCATCATCCCCGAGTACATCTTTCCGCTTCTGGAAGGTTTCTCGATCTTTTGCTTGGCCGATCAGCACAGTCTGGTCTTCACGAACCTGTTCGGCGGTGCTTCCGGAAACGAGGGACTTGGATTTCTCTCCCTTTCCTTCGATTGGAACTACATCGCCTCACTTGGTTCGCCACTGTGGTATCCGCTGTACGCTATGACCAACAATTTCATCGGATATCTGGGCTGTATCATCCTCTTCATGGCCGTCTACTACGGCAATATCTGGCGTTCTCAAGACTTCCCGTTCTTGTCCCAGTTGCTTTACTACGGCGACTCCAACTCCACCTACTACAATGAGTACAACCAGACCCTGATCCTCAATTCTGAGTACATTGTCGACCCAGCGGCCCTCAAAGAGCAGGGTCTGCCCTGGCTGACCGGAACATACGTGGTCTACCTCATCACCTCCAACATGGGAGTGACCGCCACACTGACCCACATGCTGCTGTGGGATTTCGACGATATCAAGATCGGATGGGCGTGGGCTGCCCCCAGCAAACTCAAGAAATGGCTGAAGCTGGAGACATACAAGTTCTGGAAAAACCAGGAAACCCCCGAGGAACGTCTCGCACGACGCGTCAACGACGACACACTCGATCCACACTACCGTCTTATGCTGCGCAACCTCTACCAGGATACTCCGCTGTGGTGGTGGGGTGCTGTCCTGATTGCGAGCTTTGCCGTTGGCTTAGGCTGCTTGTATGCGATGAAATCTACGCTGCCGTGGTGGGGATTCATCGTCGGCAACATCCTCACACTGGTGTTTATGCTCTTCTTCGGTGCGCAATACGGATTGACTGGGTTTCAGTTCAACGTTCAGCCTATTTGTCAGATGCTGGCGGGCTACATGTTCCCGGGGAAGCCGTTGGCCAGTAAGTAAATTTCGATCTAATGTCTGACCCAGCTAACGTACAGACCTCTACTTCACCTGCTTCACCTACAACTCGCTACAGCAGGGACAGGTCTTGGCCAAGGATCTACGATTAGCGCAGCAAGTGCATCTATCTCCAAAGTGCACCTTCTTCGTGCAAGTGATGGGCTGCATCATCGGTGCTTTATTCAACTACGTGATGATGCTAATGCATGCTCCCTACCCCCGATACCCGACTTACCCCCACTAACTATAAACAGCATCGTCCGAAACCAATCCGAAGTCCTCATCTCCATCGACGGCACCAACATCTGGAGTGGCGCCAACGTCCAAATAAGTCCCCCAACCCCATTTTCCCTCTTACCACAAAGCTAACACCCCCAAACCAATTCAACAGTCTCGCCATAGCCTGGAGTATTGCCAACGACATGTTCTCCATCGGCGGCCGCTACGAATGGGTCACAATAGCCTACCTCGTCGGCTTCATCGTGCCGGTACCCTTCTGGCTCGCCAACCGATACTACCCGCACCCGATCTTCTCATACCTCAACACTTCCATTATCCTCTGGTACATGGGCTGGTTGTTTGTGGGTATTAACGCCTCCATCATGTCATATTTCCTGCTTGGATTTGCGGCCCAGTTCTGGCTCAGACGGTACCATCCCCAGCTGTTCAACAAGTATAATTATATTGTCTCGGCGGCGTTGGATGGTGGCACGCAGATTTGTGTGTTTATTCTTACGTTTGCTGTGTTTGGGGGGAGTGGGGTGGAGCATGCGTTTCCGTGAGTGTCCTTTCCTTTGGGGGTTTGAGAGAGTATGAGGTGCTAATTGTGGGATAGGACTTGGGCGGGAAATCCCAATACCGATATTCATAATTTGGATTATTGCAAGGTCAATCCGGCGACTTTGTAGGTGGGTGGCAGCTGTGGATGAGATGGTCATGTGCGGTATGTGCAGGATGAAGGGGTAGTGAGGGTACCTTCTAGACTTTATGAGGTGGAATGCCTTCAATGCAATACGTTATGGACCACTATACAAGGGATTGAATGGATGATAGCCTAAATATGGCATCATAGTCACAATCATCCGTAACAAGCACTGCCTGTGATAGATTTTCGTTGGACTCGCCGGGAATGGCAACACGGAGATACCAATGTCCAAGCCTACAAACAGACTACGGGATAAAAAATCCATGTTATGAAGCCGATTAACGACAATGAACTTGTAAAGAAATTCGTATCCTAACATGTACTTAGAACTACATCATACATCCCATTACTCCTTCGCCGCCGCAAACGGACACGCCGAAGCAGTCTTCTCCTCGCCCTCCACCTTAGTCTGTTCATGATCCTTGGCAATCTGGCGGAACATCTCCAGCGGATCAAACCACACATCAATGCGCTGCAGCTTGAGCGCATCATTGACCTTGGCGATTACGATACCCTGAATATCGATAGGTCCGCCGTGCGCCGCGATCTTGACCTTTTCTCCTTTGCTATACCATTATTAGTCCCCACCCACACATAAATTACTGTTCGGGAGGAGGGTATTGAACATACTCATTAAACCCAACATAATCCCTAGCCATAACACCCCAATGCCTCCACTTAAACACCACGACCGGCGGCCCACTATATACCTCGAGGACCTCCCAAGCAAACGTCGGCATCATACGCTTAAACGACTTGTGACTCGCCTCGAAATCATTATTGGCAGGATCGTAGTGCGCACTCGGCGTGAGGAGGGCATTGTACGTGCCGACTTTCAGCATGTGTTCGCCGCTCAGCGGGGGTCCGCCGTTCAATGTGAAATGATATGTCTCGTGGTCGATGGTGCGCCAGTCCGCGAGGTTGGTCTTGAAGGACGCTTCGATTTCCCAGTTCTTGACGAGGTTCTCGACGAGGAAGGGGAGGCTGCCAGATTCGTGTTTCATTTTCTTGGCTGTTGGTTTGGATTGTTAGTATTGATGTGGAGGGTGGTTGGATAGGGTACGAGCGTACTGTCTTCGTAGAAGGCCCGGGTCTTGCTGTAGTCCGGGGGACCACCGTGACGCCAGGCGGCGTCTGTGTCGTTGAGGACCGCATTGGGGTCCAGAACGTAGTCGGGGAGTCCTGCAGCGTCGCCCATTGTGTGGTGGTGTATGCTAGTGGAAGTTTGGAGAGATTTTGAGTAAACAACCAACAGGGGTAAATAGCCAGACTATATATCCTCCACCCCAGGCTAAAGTCTTGTCAGTCTCCGCCTCTCAGGAGACGTGGCCTATAACAATGGCCTCGGTTTGTCTGAAGCCACTGCGACAATAGAATGCACTAAGTTTGCCTAGCAGTGGGGGTGTCAGCCGGCTTAAAGTCAGATTTAGTGTTGAAGGTAGATAGCGCACATGGCCCATCTATCTAGACCGGTTGCAAAAACGGCCAGGTCGCAGCCGTTTGTTATCGCGCTGGTTTAGTCTGCGACCGGTGGTGGTAGTCATTTCAGGTGCAAGAAGCAGAAGACTGATGGGAGGGGTCGGGATGCATTGACCAGACAGAGGGGCCATTGTTGTTCATGGTTACACTGTACTGGGTCCTCGTGGGAACCATTGGATCGATGGATCGTCTTGGCCTCAGCTCGCTGTCTCCATCCGAGGCTGTCAGCCCCAACACCATACCAGCCCCGCGGTGCGAGGAACCTGTCCAGCCAAAAAGGTTAAGTAGGTCAATTCTGCAGTGGTTGTCATGTCGATCGCCTGCGACTGATGAAGAGCCGACATTGTTTTCTTTCGCTCAGTGACAATGGGCAGAATGTTTTTTTATCGCCCAAATCATGCCATTGTCGCGTGTCTCCGATGGGGTTGCCTGTGATGCAGGGGTGAGATCTTAGGTCAACATCCGCGCTCCAATAAAGCGATCGCGCTTACACATCGTTCCGCACTTAACAAGCCATTGTGAGTTCTGAGAGGCACGTTTGGTCGTGGTGGATCAGATGTTTATAATAGACATTTTAGGGCGCCTGGCCGGTTTCCCGCCGGAGTCTGGCGGATAGAGCCACCATCATCCCCGTGCGCCCTAATTGGCACATCGGCATTGGGTGGAGATTCGGCCGACGCCCTCGTGGCCGCACAGAACTCATGATTGGTGGTAGGTTCATATCATAATAGATTGAATTAGATTGCTGGTGGTTCGTTCTCACCACCACACAAGGGGTTCTCTAATTAGCAGAATGTTATGACCTCGCAGCGCGCCGTTATGAGTAGATTAGCGCCCACAGTATATGATCTACCTCCTTATCCACTATTGTTTGCTATTTGTGCCCGGTTCAGCCGCGGTACCTAGAAAGCGAGCACCAACAAACCCAACACTTGGCTACACCTCACTGACAGAATTTCATGAGGGTGATGGATCTTCGGTTGGGTCCCTTCGACCCATGTCCTAGAGCAAGTACTCCATCTCTTATAATCATGTGCCTCACACGATAGTCAGTGGGCAGCCAAAGTATCCTCTTGCCTTGTAGAGTGACCCATTCGCGATTTTCCACGCGCAACTCTAATCCAGACTCGGGCTTAAGAGGAGCACTGTGGTACAACGGCGGTAGATCATACACCCCCTGACTAGTCTCCACAGACTGTCCATCACTAGAGAATACAAGCTTAGCGAAGGGTTTTTGCGTGTCGATAGTGTGCTGTAGGGTGCCAGTAGCAGGATCCCAGATCCTAACTATGCGGTCCGACCCAGTGGCTAGCCAGCGTCCATCTGCAGAAAAGGCCACCAATCTACAGCCCCACGAAGGGTGCTTGAGTATATGCAGTAAGGTACCTGTGGCCGGGTCCCAGAGTCTAACCGTTTTATCATCGGAACCAGATGCCAGCCATCGACCATCTGGTGAAAATATAACTGTGTAAACACCCCGTTCATGTCCCTCCAGGGTATGCTGCAGAGACCCCGTGACCGGATCCCAGATCTTGATGATGCCATCGGTAGAGGAAGAAGCCAACTGTCGCACATCCGGCGAGAACGACAGCGAAAAGACGGAACGCCTATGACCTTCAAGCGTATGGCGCAGTGCATCGTGTGCCGATCCCCATAGCCTGGTCTCTAGCTCCCAGATTTTGACGGTATCTCCACTCCCGCCAGATGCTAGCCATCTTCCATCTGGGGAGAAGGCCATAGAACTTAAAAAGCCATGGCTTTCAGCAGTATACTCCCGTTCCCCAAACGATGGCCAACAGAGAGGGGTATTCAGGTCCCAGAGTTTAATAGTCGCATCGTAGGCTCCCGAAGCCAGCCGCTGCTTATCGGGTGAGATGCTCACGCCGTGAACTGCACCGCTATGGCCCTCCAACATGTGTCGTAGAGTACAAGTGGACACGTCCCACACCTTTACACTACAGGTCGTATTTGTCGATGAATAATACGCCAGGAGTCGCCCATCTTGTGAGAAGTTCAGCGCTGCGGCGCGATCTTGCATTACCCCAAGGGTCTGCTGCACAGTCCCGGTTGCTATGTCCCAGAGCATGACCGCGCCATCCGAGACTGCCAGTCGTCCATCTGGAGAGAAGGCTAGGTAACTAACCACTCTTTCCATTTTGTATGTATCCTGCAACGCTCCACTTGCTGTATTCCAAATCTTTACGGTTTTATCCCAAGAGCCGGTTGCCAAACACTGACCGTCTGGCGAAAAGGCTACCGAGTAAACCCAGTGGTCATGCCCCTTCAAAGTCTGATGTGTGCAGCTCGTTAGATCCCAAATCTTGGCGGTGTAATCGTAAGAGCCTGATGCCACCCTGCAACCGTCTGGTGAGAAGCACACCGAGTATACATAGTGCTCGTGACCCTTCAACGTCTGATGCGTGCTAGTCGTCAGGTCCCAGACTCTGACAGTACGATCCCAGGATCCACACACTAGCTTTCGGCCGTCTGGCGAAAAGGCTATTGAGATGACCGAGTCATCGTGGCCTTCGAGGGTCTGCTGCAGAGTACTGGTAGCCGCGTCCCATATCTTAATAGTGTTATCCTCAGAGCCAGATGCTAGCCATTTGCCGTCCCTTGAAAAGGTTACCGCCCGAACAACAAAGCGTTTGTGGCCCTCAATCGTTTCCAGCTCCGCGTTCCATGTGTCTTCTACCTCTGGTAGCCTGCTTATCCATCTGGGCATCTCATATGCTCTTCTGATAATTGACTGTGATGGCGCGAATATCAGCCCTGAACAGTACAGCTGAAGTGGTGCTATATCAGCTATACGTCGACACTTTAGCATGAAGCGGAGGGCATCGTAAAGGAAGCTGGATATTGCAGATCCTTCCTGTTTCTATATTTGTCAGCTACTGTAGGAGGTGTCTCTCTCCAAACACTTACCTCAATGAGCTTTCGTAACGTTTCGATATTTCCCACAATTTCAGATGCGTATCCAAGGACGCACATTACTTCAGCCCAGTGGAGAAAGTGTGCCTGGACAAAGGAATGGGTCTCCTCCAAGATTGACGATAGATTATTGCCGTGTGCCAGATGCAACGTCCAGTACCTGCAGGAGTATTCCAGTTCCGGTGGTATGTTGTCACGGATGACATTTGCGGAGATATCATACCGCTCGAATCCTTCGTACGGCAGACCGCATATATTTTTCCTGAGCTTGCGTTGCATAACCTCAAGACACCTTTTTGCTAGTCGCTGGTGCGTCTGGCCCCCGTCTATCCAGAATTCGGTTTTCTCCCGAGTTTCCGGGTTCAGAAGAAAGTCCCGGAACGACAGGTGGAAGAGTCCCACTGGCATGGTATCCCTATCCGGTATATTTAGCACTGCATGCAGTCGGCGTAGTCGGATGTTTATCACTCTCGGTGGAATACCCAGGATCTCTGAGAGACAGGCTACTGAGAGGGGTGACTCGAGAATCACGATAGTGCCCACCACTTCGCGAAATTCATCCACAATCATCTGTTTTCGCTTCCCGTTATGAGTCGATAGTCTCTGTAGCACCGGGAGATATGTTCCGTCCAATTTTGACTCCTCATTTTGAAATTCTAGGATCTCACACAGACTTTGTACGGGATCGAGGTCATGGTCTTGAAACACACGACACACTGTTGCGGCGAAGATGAATAACGGAACTGACATTTTGACCAGTTCCTGGAAGTTACTGTCACCAGGCCAATCCGGGGGTAGTGACCGAGACTTCCGAATCATGTCCAATTTGTGTCTAAAGAACAATGATATATCATGCTCAATCACCGGCTTAGGAATCTTGTGGAGAACAAGATCCCGGTGGCTGCTTTTGATAGCATCCTCCTGAAAGCCGAGCTGTATTGGTAATTCCGGGCGGCTGGTAATGAAGGCCCGTAACTGAACAGACTTTGACTCCTGAATACGAGGAAAAAGCTGCAGCAGAAGGCTTATATCCTGCTCTTCTTCGCATTCATCCAGTGCGTCTACCACGATCACGAATCTCCTCAGACTTTGGCCATCCTCCAGTTCACCTAAGGGCTCGAGAAGAAGCTTTTCGAACTGAATCCTGAAACCGCGCCTTGATATGTCTGGATCATCCTCGATAGCCTTCGAGACGCCAACTGCGAGATCGGGGATTGCGGCAATGAGTTGTCTTACAATTGTCGAAACAAATCTCTTCGCATGCCCGCGGTCACCCTCCCCCCTTTTGAAAAAGTATGTCGCTCCAAGCTGCCCCTTGTCCCTGAGACGTTGGGCCAACGAACGTGAAATTGTCGATTTTCCAGTCCCTGCCATCCCATTTAACCAGAAGATGCAGGGCCCATCTGAGCAACTTCCCCACTCACTGACTTGCTGGAGAAGATCCTCCCTTGTGCCGGGAAGACACTCCTCCTCGTGCTGGTTTTGATATGAGTCAAATGAAGCTCCTTCGGCATCCGGTAGGTTATAGAGATCGAATTTCCGGTGCAGGTTTTTCAGCAGTACGATGAACTCGTCTATCCGGCTAAGCAGCTCTTCGGCCTTTGCTCGACTCTGTAAATGCTCATCATGCCTAACCCATTGGCGCAGCCTTGCCTCGTCGCCTCTTATTGTTGCTTCAATCTCTTTGAGTGGGTGATTTGTCACTGGCAAAAGGCTCTCCAGTAACCTCTCGCCCACATTGGCCCGTTGCATCCGGTACACTTGCGCTGTATAGCGTAGGATGCCTTTGTAGACTTGGATGATGGCGATCTCAACCTTGTCCTGTGTTTCATAACGGCTATCGTGATAGTGCTCCTTTTCAATAAATGCACAACGTGTTAAGACGTCTGTCAAGAATTCAGCCGATTGAAACTGAGCCTTGCGTATTTGATGATGGTTATAAGTTATCTATCGATGGAGTTAGTTAGCATTTGAAATCTGTAGGCCTCCGACAAGACACATACGGTCAATCCGAGCAAGACAATTCCCCAAGCAATGGATGCAGTGCCAGTTTGATCGCCACTCACGAGCACGCCCGCGATTCCCCTAAACGACAATGTAGCATTCAGGATTTTGTGTGCAATATCACGAACGTTAATGGCGTCTTTATCTGCTCCCTTCCTAATTTTCAGCCCTCCCTTCTGATACTCCTCATACTGCTTCTTCGTCGCCTCGATAACATCATCCACTACCTCCAAAGTCCTGCTACGGTGAAGAGACGGTCGTTCAACTTCTCGAGTGCCCGCAAGCACCCCTTTGTCGGCTGGACTCAAATCCTCATAAGCTATCTGCCATAAGTCGGTTCCTTTCACCTCCACTATTTGTTGCGTTGTGGCGGGTGACCTTTCAGGATTTTGAGCGCCATAGGCCTCATTGGAGGCCACGGGAGAGACCGCGGATGAAGGTTTACCATCCTCTTTGCCTTTGAATTTCCGCCAAATGCTCTTGGAGTAGCGTTTCATTGGTGATTTCGTGTCCCAAGTTGGTATGATATGTGCTTATTGTGAATTGTGAGAAGTCCGCGGTTTACTATGTGGGAGAATGTCCAGACTCATTGTATTTGAACACACGGGGAAGGGTGAGCCTTGAGCTGCGCAGCCTCACTACGCGCCGAGATAGCGCGCGGCTGAGTAGCGGGGTAATCGGCCATTATCCCTGTTGGAAAAACATCGAATTAGAAGCGACGATGAAGCACATCAGAAGCTATTGGCCAATTTGTCAGGTTAAGAAACAGCTTGCTTGACTATCCTCTCCTTGAGGCCATGCTGCACAGCCAAACGTCCGATTCGCATCTCAGGGATTGTCAGTTCGAGCTGGTAGGGCTGGTGGGTAATACTAGATGTTGTGATTGATCAATCCGACTCGCGAGCGAATGGACCATCCCACATCTAGACGCTTGTCAATCACGAGAGTTGGAAGTTAACTTGGTGAGAACCAGAATGCTGGCGTAGCGTTTTTGAACGGTACATGGTGTTGAAATTGCCCATAATGTATACTGTCATACAATATCGGGGCCTGAGAGCATCTGGTGACGTGTCGGGCTTAACTGACCTCCCTCATCAATGGCTTATCCAGGATCCTTGCGCCATCCTTGAAATCTTCGGTTGGCATAAATATCTTCCAAGTTATAGATCAAATTCTAGAAATGGCATTTCTTAGCCCACGCGCTAAGAGACACGGCATCGTGTTGGAGCCTTAGGCATCCAACAGATTTCAAGCTCACGGCAGTGCGGGGATTCTGCCGCCGGGCGGGTGCTTCATACTTTGTACGCTCGGATGCAACTAGTGTGCATGCATCATCATCATCATCATTATCATCATCAGTATTAGGCCAGACTTTATTGGGCGCATAGCATGCGGAAAGACTGCAGAACTAAAGCCCTCAATTAGTTGTGACAGCATGTGCAATCAAAGCTGAGAAGCTTTCTCGGAATGAATTACAGAAAAGATGGGAACAAAGAAGATCAGCTGACCGGCCTTGGCGAATACACTATAGTCTCCGAGGGCGGTCTTAAGAAAACCACGCTTCCTGTTGTCTATCTAACAACAATGAGGTATTTTCTATTTCACAGACACATGCTCTCCTCACGTCTACAAGGTTTATATCGTCAAATGCAGAAGGACTAGGGACCACCGATAGAAGACGGCGACCGTTATAACTACTAGCAGTACTAGCCGTCCGGTCGGACACCTTCCTTTCCAAAGGCTGCAGGGTCGTCGGGCATGCAGCGAATCTGTTAAACGCCTTCGATGTCGTATCTAAATAGACTGCTGCGAGATACTGTTGCTTGTACCGGGAGGTCGCAGGACCGATTACTCCACCCTGATGATCACCTTGATAAATCTGGCCACCTGCAAATCTGCAAGACGCATCCCGCTCCACATCGTGCCGTGCTTGAGCCTACTGTGTAGCAGTAACTCTTGAACGTCCTGCATAACATGGGAGATAACAGCGAGGAATCTAAGGGGTGAAATGCATACGAAATCTACTCTGTATTACAAAGAGTATCTACATGTTCAAATCGTTTCGTTATGTTGAGAACTTCGGCGCTCCGATGGGACTTGGCAATCTGAATGCTTACAGAATAATAAGCAAGAGATCATGGCTATGCAACTTACTAGGAGCTTCAATGACAGACGGGATGATTATGGATATTCCCCACGACCGCTGCCCGCACAGTCTGAGTCTGGACCTAACCCACTCATGCTAATCATGCTATCATCTCACAACACATTGAGGACATACTGGCGATGCCCCCCTTTCCCCCCGGGTGACTGGTAGTCGGAGCAATTGAGGCTGTCCGGTTGGAATCGCCACTATGGCATTGCCTCGAGTGATTCCCGCACAACAGTATCCAATTCCGTCCACCTCTACGTCAGAATAGGATAACCAAAACCATCTCGCAATTGCTATTCACGCACTTCCTCGCGGTATGATTCTATTTTTGCCCTTCCAGCTACGATAGGATATGTGATGACGGCATGAAGAGTGGCGGTGTAAGATGTTGGGGCCTCGGGGCAATTGCATTTTTGCCGGTCTCGGACTGCACCAGCCACAGCCTCCTGATTGGCACACCGCTCCCATTATTTTCCGTCGGGTGGATAATGTGCGGAGTAGGAGCGAGTCTGCATTCGAGCGATTTTGGATGGAGACCATCGGAACTTTGTGCTCAGTACCCAATATTTGGCCAGTTTCAACCAATTGAAATGGTTCAGCGGCTCCGAAACGGCCGTCGTCCGGTAATTTTATTCGCCCATGTTGCTGCTGCAGATCTCTCTCAAGTTCAACGCCCTATTCAATGCCGATCCTCCCGTCTGCCTTCGCCCGTTTCACATCAATCCTACGATATGGATGCGATAAGACGTCCTGGCGGAGGCGACCGCTTGTCTACTTGAGACCACCGAGAAAGATTATGGCACCACCCTCTTACGAAATCACACCGAACGGCCTGAGATAATGGCATCATCGTTGGTAATTGGGGCGAAACCCCCACTGCGGCCATTAGGGAAATAACACCGCACCTTTGCGGTGAGGGTCTGAAGTCAAAGGGTAAAGTCTACCCCTGAGCTGGTTGGGTGGATCCGATTACCATTACCTATCTAGCGCTAGATAGCTCCTTTCAGTTTCGTCTTCGCTGCGGGTAGTGTGGCTGTGCCGCTGCTACTCTCACGACATTATAGCAGCGCACCCATCAAGAGCTGCTGTGTAAATAAATAACAGACAGGCCTTCGCTTCCTTCCCACTGAGAGTACTACGTGTCAGATATAACCTTAGGGAGCGGGCAATCGTGCCAGTGAGGCGATTGTGTGAAGACAGCTGGTCTCGGTTAAGATGGGTGAGAAAGCTGAGCGTCAGACGGGTAGAAGCTACGGAGTACTGGGCGACACTATTGGGGTGATGCTCGCTTCCTTTGCCTGAGAACAGCGCCTCATGCCGACGGAGGACAGTAAAGCAATGGACCAGGTGGCTGATGCGGTGGGGTGGTGGCCATTCACAAGTCCCGTCATCTCGCCCAAACTCGATATAGCAGCACTACTGCGACTAGTGGAATTCAGTAGGCGATGATAGTCGAGTGGGATTCTCGCGTATTGGCCATACGAATGTCTGCCGAAACCCACCATCACCGGGCAACCAAAACATTGGCAGCCACCCAAGGCTCAGATAGGATTCCACTGGAGCTTGTTGCGACTTAGCTTCCGCATCGCGCCCAATCATCGCTTGACAAGAAATCCAGTCCACTCCAGTCGGTGCCCCCACCATCCACCCACTGAATCCTCAGTGATCCAGTATACCACGCGCTGCCCCTCCATTGCCTCTTTGGGTGCCCCCAACAAGCCCCTCACGACTCCAATCAGACCGAGATCTCAGTCGACCACGATGATGATATCATTTACCCCTCCATCAGGGGAAGACAGGGACCCAGGGGGGCAGCCATCTCAACCTATATCAACCCCTCCCTCTCCCCCCCTAATAGCTCTTTTCTTTCCCCATTCACAAACATTCTATCCTATTCCTCCACACCTCACTACTACACTTCAGCAATCATGGGTTGGTTCGGTGAGTAACACCCTGAGATGAATCTCGGTCTTGTCTACGTACCTTTCTAGCTGACACGCGGTATCTCAACTTTACAGACAGAGACAGCTTCGAGGGTCAGTCCCACGAGGAGCTCCGCAACTTTGAGCCCGGCACCGAGATCACCGAGGAGCACAAGGCCAAGTTCAGCCACGAGCTCATTGGCGGTGCCGCTGCCTACGAGGCCATGAAGGCCTACGAGGAGCACCAGGAGAAGAACGGTTCGTTCGATCTTTTGTCTTCCCTCATTTGATACAGAGCACTAATATCCTCTCAGGCAAGCCCGACAGCCACGCCCAGGCCAAGGAGATCCTCGCCGGTCTTGCTGGTGCCTTCATCGACCGCGAGGTTGAGACCAAGGGTCTTGACTTCGTCGACCGTGAGAAGGCCAAGTACCACGCTCGCCAGCAGCTCGAGGAGGCCTCTGCCCAGGACTTCTAAGCGATTGGACTATGAGTTGGACGCACCTATCTGTTTATGATGTACGGTAGTGTGTATGACATGAAATAGAATATACCACAATGAACAACCAACAACACAATTTTTCTTTTTTCATCCATTGTAGAACAAGATGCATGCGTAGATTTCAATGTCAGTACGGGTAGATAGCATCCTCCATGAGGGGTACTCTGCAACGTGGCAGTCGACGATCCCAAGCTAGCATCCCACTGCAGAAGCACAGAGGGGCATCAGTGGCTTAACACGGGCTGCATTCCGTCGTCATCGACTGCTGCAGCTCACCAAACTGGGGAATACCTTTAGACAACAGAACCAGAGTATCAACAATTCTTATGCACCTCCAGGTCAATGGTAGTTATCTTTAGGTAAAGTTGTACAATATCCCTGTGGGTATCCCTGCTACTTCTTTGCAGGGTCTTTTGTTTTTCCGGATATGTAGTTCCGACGATGGCCGCCGCGATTGGATTCGCAGTGCCGGTAACACTAAGTAGCATTAGCACCGACCGCGCCATTCCGACAGCATCTGGCTCATTCATCGTCTGCTGTGGCTGCGGATGGCCAAAGATAGAAGGAGGGGTACTAGTAGTAGGCAATGCAGATTGGTTATGGGATACTGTTAGTAAGGGATAAACTGAACTTCCATGACTGAATAGCAATCACAGCCTAAGCTATTATAAACTGCCACATTAGTAGTATTAAAATAAGTTACGAATTATGCAGTGGTTGTTGTCCTTTCTGCTAACGGCGAATATATATTTGCAGCTGTCGTTGATAATCCGAGCTGAACTTTAGGAGTCTGAATCCGTTAGCTAGCAGTAGACTACTACTATTTACCACAATAGCAAATTCCTGGAAATATCAGACTCCGCTACAATTATGAATAAAAGTTGGAAGAAATGCTCCGTACAACTACTCAGCAAGCCAACTGAAAGAGCAAGATGCCTAATAAAAATCACCGCCGGAACCGCGGCTGCAAACACAGCAGTAACATATTCTGCCATCACAGGATCTACCGCTCCACTGACCGCTCTAAGCGGCAGAACCTAGCGAACCTCGCTCGAAAAACCTCGGATTTAAGCGGATTTAAGCGTTTCCAGTTCCCGGACACTCATCCTGGATTCTGTATAAAATTTGACCGCCTTTGTCGACAAGTCGGCAGAAAATGACCTCTGACCGCTTCTGACACCGCTCCACGCGGCAGAACCTAGTCGACCTCGTCGAAAAAATCGCGGATTTAAGCGGATATAAGCTTTTACAGTCCCAGAATGCTCACCTTGGGTTCTGTGAAGTTTTTGACCGCCTTTATTGTAAGGGGGCAGAATATAGTCCGCGCCTGTACCTCCCCCACTGGTTCACCTTGGTTTGTCTACAGCTACTCTCGCTTTACTTTTAGAAAGCTATATTTGGCTATAATATGATACGAGCTGATTTAATTTTTTTTTCTTGGTTTTTCTTCAGATACATGGAGGTACGATAAGCATGGATTTTCTCCTATCTCTACTATATTCGCCCGAGGCAGTAACGATCCATGACGGTCGGAATTCACGAGACACCTTAGGCACTCTACATGGGTAACAGTGCCCCCGAGCAGGATGTATGTAGGTTGCGTTATAGCGAGCATCGAATATCTACAATCGCATCTCAGAGTTTTATAAATGTTCAAGCGGCTAAGCGGACCTAGCCATTGTTCACTTTCATTGACTCGCCGCGAGCTCATCCAACCCCTGGCCCATGCTCATCATGCGATCCTAATCCAACATTAGCAATAACACATAACACCCTTGATAGATGAGGACAAACTAACAGCCAACCACCCCGGCACCCATTGAGAAACAAACTTCACCGCACCGCTATTTGGCCCGCGCCAGAACATGCCATTTCCTGTCGTACCCAGTACATCAGGCAGGATCAAATCCACCAGCTCCTGTGCCGAGCATCCCTTTGGACTCGCCTCACCCGAGGCCCAGCGGGAGATGGTCTGCGCGATAGCTGCATACCGTGAGCTTGGCGGGATGGTGAATGTGGGCTCGTTTGCGTGGAAAGGCGTCGTGACGGTGCCGATCATGAGCGTGGCCACGGATACGCCTAGTGGCGCGAGTTCGAGTCGCAAAGTCTCGGAGAGATTGCTCAGGGCCGATTTCGAGGATGAGTAGATGCCTGTATCACGTTGTTAATGTGACACTGCATGGCGACCGAGGGAAGGAGATTGATGTACCGATCCATGGCGTGGGAACTACGGCACCCACGCTGCTTATGTTGACGACGCGTCCACCGCGGGATAGTAGCAATGGTGCTACAGCTTGTGTGAGGCGCAGCGGTCCCCAGATATTGGTCTCGTAGACCTGCTGGGCCTGGGCGAGGTCGACGTCCAGCAGCGGCATGGTGTATCCGGAGCCCGCATTGTTTATGAGAATATCGAGGCCTGCTCCGTGCTGCTCGACGGCCTGGAGTGCGGCAGCTACAGATTCCGATGAGGTGACGTCGAGCTGGAGAGGGGTGACATTGGACAGAGTGGTGAGAGACGACGGAATTTTGGAAGGTGAGCGCGCAGTGGCGAAGACGTGGTGGCCTTGATTGGCGAGCGCCTCGGCCAGGGCCGATCCGATGCCGTTGGCGGAGCAGCCGGTGATCAGGACAGTCTTAAGGGGCGCCATGGTGGCTCAAGCTCATAGAAATTACATCGGGAGTAACGCTCGGTGGGCTGGCTTTAAATGCCCCCGATTGACAACCGGGGCAGAGTCTGGAACCCTCGGGTATATCTTAGTCTGTGATGGCCAGGCAGTAGTGTATGTGATCGTCCAGTCCAGCTGAATTCTGACAGGTTGAATGAGAAGCTATCCTAATTTAGTCAGTCTTAGAGGTGGCCCAGGACGGACATCCCTGTTTGAGGCTGTATCTCGGCAATGTCCTGTTCTTTGTTCCCCCCCTATTGTAAGTAGGTTCCAATCCATACTTGTGACTGATGTCGGATTATAGTCTCTATCACAGCACTGCTATTCCCTCATAGCACGCTCGAGGCTAAAAAGACGATCCTAATTCGTTAACTAGCATGACGATCTAGCTTAATCAGCAACCTGTTACTGCCGCAAACTGCCAACTGCATTTCGCTTCGGGGCTTAACCGACCGTTCTTTGTACTTCACACTGCTAACACATTAGCTTGACACCCCATTGGGCATCGAGCAGCCAGCGTGCAGGCAGACCCACTGGCCGTTTAGGGTTATGATGGTGCCGCCTTATATAGCAGGCTGCGTGTTGCCAACATGCCGTTCGACACAGCGAAGTAAGGGCATTTCCAGCTGACAGATACCGGTAAGGGATAAACTATATGGTACTTTCATACCTTGAGTAAATCGATCCTTGTTGGGTCACATACTCCATGGATGTAGATCTCCCTGGTAAGATCTACCAGCACCATAATGTGATACGATCAGCAACAAATTCTGACTGCTTGCATGTTACACTTCAAAATGCAGGGAATAAGCTGGAATAACTATGACGTTACACAGAAGAGGACTAGAGGGTACATATAAGTAGATCTGACCTCCCTTGATCTCCTAGATTTTTCATCAATCATAAGACGAGGATATACTCCCACGAATCAGACACCATGACCAGGTAACGCTATGAAAATCAAAATCTATAGAAACCCGGCACTGATACCTCATGTCCCAGCATCATAGAACGTATCCGCGCCAACCAGCCCATTAGTCTCACTGAAGCCAAGGCCTACTTCGACGAGAGACCCCCTGTCCAGCCAAGCTTCCTGCTAGGCGAATGGAAAGGTCTTCCTGTTCTGACGGGCAATAAGCTCGTGGAGATCCTTCGGAATGTCAAATGGGCCGGGAAGAATTTCTACGGAGTCGACCATGTTGAGCCCATGGTGTGTTCCGACGACAAAGATTGTCGGTTCCCCAACCCCTATTGGGGTGGTGCGAGGGTATGTTGTCCCTAGTCTTGGTTGTATCGTCAATGGCTGATTGCCTGTCAAGATTCGCGAGGTCAAATATAACGACGTCGTGTCTGCCGCAATGGTCTATAATGAACGGCCTGTTATTGACTATTTTCGCTATGTGGATGAGGATACTGTCATTGGGGTGATGGATAGTCCTGAACATGATGATCCTAGCCAGGAGGGAGACCATTTGTATTTTGTCTTGGAGCGGATTAAGTGAAGGATTGTGTTTTGTATATGCTGAGTCGCTGAGGCCCGTTGGTGACTGACTGAGGTGATTAGCCTTGTGCTGTGGCGTAGTACGTAATCTACTTGCTCAACGGAAACTCAAGACATCTCTGTTGCTAATCATATATAAGTTTTCCCTACTTGCATCAAGCTCACCCCTTCTCGTTTTATGAATCGGAAGAGCCACAGATTCGACCAATTGGAGAAACAAAGTAGTCGCTGTATAGCTCTAGTAGGTGTCGACCAAACAGCCAAGGAAACCAACAACCCACTATTTCTTCAATCAAGGTACACCAAGTTCCTGTCTCTTTCTTCTCCTTTCTTGGCTCTTCTTCAATTAACGTTTGGATGCAACAATCAGACCAGGGGTAAGATCCGCAGCTGCTTGCTTCTTGCGTTCAACCAGCGTTTCAAGGCACTGATCCCACCCATCACCGAATTGGTAGCCATGAAGAGAACAAGGCTTAAGAGCAAGAGTTCGGAGTATCTTCTCTTTATAGGGAGTATTTGAGATTTCGCCGCTGAGTGTACAACACCATAACCAGGAGATAAGCCTTGGCCAAGACTCGCATCACCATCCGGGGGTAGAGGAAGCGTCTCGATAGCGAGAAGTAAGCTTTGGACAATACACATAACATGGGCCTTTAGACCAGTGGCAAGCGGGCCGGAACCCCACCCCGGAGATAAGCAGTACGCGAGCTTCTGCTAGCGGCGTCCAAACATAAGCGAGGCTGGCGAGACTGGCGAGGCTGAAACCTCGAAATGCCCAAGCATGGCCTCAAACAATCTGCCTGAGCCCCGCGCGTTACGGTATAGCCGATCGCACGGGGACACGGCCGCCATAGTAGCTTCGGGCACCGTGCATCTGCATCGGTCGAAGGTTTGATTTGGGAAAGGCTCAGCCTCATTGAATCAGGCTATAAGCAGGACACCGATCGGGTCTTCGTCGTGAGAATCCCGGACTTTTCAAAATCAGCATCTCCTTGCCAGCCCCGTGTGTGAACATTTCCATCTTTGAATTCAAGCATGATGAAAGATTTGTTGCCAGACCGAACGCGTTTATGGCGGTGGCTGTCACTCCAGACGAGAACCTATCAGTATCTCCACCACAGCTCGCGAACGGCGGAAGGCATTGAACTGGTACCTGTACATCAGGCCAGTACTAGTGAGATCACCGCCTGTACTCAGGACCGCGAACATTTCGTGTGGTCAAACCCCTCCCTTTCGTCTCTCAAGCTCTCTACACACCATGACAGCAAGAGAAGATGGGTACGGGGAGTACTGATATGTACCTACGCAGCCTTTGGTGTTCTATTAGTGAATATCATCCTGACCACTGTGGCGGCCGCCGTGTCGGTCGCGGATCATGGCCAGCGGCCGATGAGCTCGGCCACCATCTATAAGGGCAGTTGCGACCGAACAAAGGCGTGGACGACGGGCCTGCATCTGCTGATTAACGTCCTCAGCACAGTCGTTCTCGGGGCCAGTAGTTACTGTATGCAGTGCTTAACTGCGCCTTCTCGTGCCGATGTTGACCGCGCCCATGCGAAGCGTGTGTGGCTGGACATTGGGGTCGCCAGCGTGCGGAATCTGGCATGGGCGGATTGGCCTCGCCTCATTTTGTGGCTGGTACTTCTTGTAACCTCTTTACCCATTCACTTGATGTATGCCATTATCCATCCTCGAAAGATTTGGGCCTAACGACGAGGCTTTAGATACAACTCCGCCGTGTTTTTCGCCTTGGGCACTAGGGAGTACGATGTCCTGCTGGCATCGGCAGATTTCGATTTCAATAGCCCGCCGACCCATTATAACTCCTCGTACGAGGAGTGTTTTGAGCCGAACACTGGAATGAACATGTCCACTTTCTATGCGGATCTTCCGAGCTTCGAAAATTTGACCAAAGAGGAGTGTGTCCGCAGATACGCGATGGATTTCCCGGCAGACGTGGGCACTCTGATCTTGGTGACCAGCAACCACACCACTGCCAACGACCATCTGCAATGGGTTGCTTTCGGCACCTCAATTGCTGTGGAATATACAGTTGCTATTCAATCCAGCTATGACTGGCTCTGCGATCAGTTCAGCGGGCTTTTATCCTCCTGCACCTCGTCGGAGCTCCTGAATGTTCAAAGCCAATGGGTCGCCTCGCCCCCCGTGCCCTGGGATGGTCCAGTGATCAATGCCACCATCGAGCTTCCCAGTGGTTCATATACAATTAATGGGAGATTTCCCTTTCTTGGAGAGGCAGCTACCTCTGGGTGTAGTGAAAATTTGACGAGGGATTTCACAACCCTTTCAGATGAGCTTCTTAGGTTCCCCCCAGAGTATGCCTTGCAGCAGTACCTGGATAATTCCACCCATTGGCTCAACGGCACGTGGGCTGAGGCTGTAAGCCTCGCACCGGTCGAGGGCGAGGTAGTATGTGCCACTGATATCAATAAAGATCAGATCGAGAGGCCACAGTACCCAGTCGAATATTGCTTGAGTCAGAAGCTCACCGAGCAATGTGAGCTGCACTTCAGCCCGGCGATCTGCTTGGTGGTGATTGTCTGCAATATTATAAAGGTTTTGTGTATGTCGCTGACGGCCTTGAGCAATCGGACGGACATCTTCCTGACTGTTGGAGATGCTGTGGCGTCGTTTCTGAGTAGACCTGATCCATCCACTGAGCGGATGGGCCTGGTATCCCGATCGAATCTGTTCCGTGGACCACAGCCCTGGCCGTCTTTCCGGAGGGACTATTTGCAACTCGCCGTAAAGGATGCATCGCGACTCCCAGCGTGGGCAACCCTTCCGCCTCGCCAGCGATGGACGCGAGCCTTGCCTACCAGCCAATGGATAATGACCATTGGCGTGTACGTGCTGACAACATTCTGCGCTTGTGTCAACTCTCACTGACGTATATAGGTTTCTTACCCTCCTTGGTGTTGGTAGTTATTACCTGTCGCAGGCTATTTATGGCCTGCGAAATGAAGGACACCCCTCGACCTTCAGTGCGCTGTGGCAGCTGGGGTTCGGCTCGGCCACCCCTTATACAATCGTCTCCATTACTCACTCGCCGGACGTCATTCACATGTCACTACTTGCCAATATCCCCCAGATTTTCATCTCGGTCGGTTATTTCCTGTACAACAACCTCCTGACGCACATGCTTCTGGTTGCAGAATATGACGACTACGCGAGCCAGCGGAAGCCACTCCGCGTGTCCTGGCCCCAGGGATCCCAACGATCGTCTTACTATCTCAGTCTTCCGTATCGCTACAGCATTCCCCTTATGGTTGCCTCAATGCTCCTGCATTGGCTGGTGTCTGGTAGTTTATATTATGTCCAAATCAATGTCGTTGACCCGCTTGAAAAGGGCTGGGCTTCAGAACAGCTCATTACCTGCGGATATGGGCCGATCGCCATTGTATTCGCGCTTATTCTTGGGGGAGTGATGACGTGTACTGTCGTGGGACTAGGCATGAGA